GGGCGGGGGGGTCGGGGAGGAAGTTGGGCAGAGGGGCCCAAACCTGTAATCCTAACACTTGGAAGGCTGAGACAGGATTGTGAGTTCAAAAGCAGCCTGGGCTATAGCAAAAGCCCATCTCAAAAAAGTAGTCATTGTTGTGTCCCTTTCCTTTAAGATCATTTCCTCTAAATGGCTTATGATAATTTTTTTCCTTCTGGTTTTTGGAGATGGAACCCAGGGCCTTAAGCATGCTAGGCAGATGCTTTTACCACTGAGCTATATCCCTAGCCTACCTATGGTAGAACTTGATTCACTTTGTTTCCTAGAACTTAATCCAGTAGCCAAACTTAGTGGCTAAGTAACCTTGGACTTAGAAACAGTTTTATTTGTTCATTTGTTGCTTTTTCATTTCTTGAGTCAGGGTCTTACTGTGTAGCCCCAGCAGCCTAGAACTTGAGATCCTCCTGCCTCAGCTTCCTAAATCCTAGAATTAGGAATTAGGCCACCATGCCAGACTTTAACTTCGACATCTTGGCTTCTTTACATTGGGCCTGCCAGATTCTTAAGCATTTTATTTAAGAAGACTATCTGTAGCCAGGTATGATGGCACAAATCTTTAATACCAGCATGGGAGGTGGAGGCAGACAGATCTCTGTGAGATCAAGACCAGCCTGGTCTACCCAGCAAGTTCCAGACCAGCTGGGATCTCAAAACAACAGCAACAACAACAAAAAAGAAGATGACTGTCTGTGTAGCATCTTCTAATATTTTATCACCTTATTTTATTTGCCTCTTTTAAGCTCTGCCAATCAATGTGGAGATAGAGCATCATTTCCACTTGCTCTTTGGAAAAAAAAACAAAAAATTTTTCATTAGTAATAGCAAAGTGAAAAGTGGAATAATATGTGAGTGAAGGTAATTGAGACTACACTCTATTAGACTGTTCTTTATTCCTTGTACTTTTAGGTTTTCGTTGTTACTGTCTTTTGAGATAGGGTCTTGCTGGAGCTATAGTTGACCTGGAGCTCACTATAGAAATATAGCCCAGACTTACCTAGACCTCGTGGCGATCCTCTTGCCTCAGCCCCCCCCCCCCAGCCAAATGCTGGGATTCTAGGTGTGTATAGGTGTGACATAGTGCCTGGCACTGCGTTTAGTACTAGAATACTGTATTCTGTGCTGGGGAGATTGGCCCATAAGCCTGAGGACCAGACCATAGCGTAGTGGCTGCCTATAATCCTAGCACTTGGAGACAGAGATGAGGGCTCCCCAGGGCAAGTAGATGAAATTGGTGAACTAGTTCAGCAAGAAACCCTGAGTCAATAAATAAAGTGGAAAGTGATCAAAGAAGATACCCTGACACCTCTCATAGCTTGATTTTAAATCCACTTTATTTTCCTGCTCCTACAGTTCCTTCTTCCCTGGGCATTCAACACTAGCTGAATTATTATAACCATCTTCTTGTTTGTTTGTTTGTTTTGATGGTCACAGTGCTGGGACTGTAACCCAGATCCTCACACATGCTAGGCAAGCACTCTACCACTGAGCTCTTGATCTTCCTCATTCATTCTTTACTCAGCAGCCAAGTGGTCTTTAAAAATACATGTTGCATCTTATTATCTTTAAGTCTGCCAAGTACATTGCCTGGCTGACAAAGCCCTGTGTGGCTCATCTGTTTCCTATCACACCTGCTTTCCTAGGTCTCCCTGCCTGTGTCCCAGATGTACTTATCTCCTTTTGGCCTTTTGGGGCACCCATCTCTTACTTCTGAACCTCTTTACATGTACTTTCCTTATCTGGAGTGCTGGTTCCCTGCCCAGACTCAGCTTAAATGATGCAGCCTCACCTAAGTGTTCATGAGAATCCCATCTAAGCATGTTCCTTATGTATACCCTAATTGTCCTCCTTGCTCAGCCCTATGTCATCTCTTCCACTGCACTTTCTAAATATATCCTTACATGTTCATGATGTTTGTGTCCTGTCCTGTCCCCCATCAGGAGCTACTTGACAGCTTGGGACACATCTGTACTCCCATCTCCATGGACTAAGAACAGTGCCTGGCATAGAGTCAGCCTTCAACAGGTGTGGGTGACCAACATGATGTGTGGTGAGGGAATGAATGAGTACATGCAAGGTTATTCAGGCCAAGAATGATGACCCCCCCCCTCCCGTGACCTCATTCACAGAATCATGCTTCTCAGAAAACCTACAGCTTTCATCAAGGCTTACTGTAAAGCCATATAAAAACTGATCTTACAGATTTTATACACACAGCCAGTAAAAATACTGTTCAAGATTTGGAGTACATATGTAAGTCATGTTGAGGCAAGAGATAGCTCTGTGTAGGTAAGTAATGGAAAAGTGCCCATGGTAAGTAATGGAAAAGTAATGCAAGCTACTCATATGTTGCACTGAGAACAGAAGTTGGTGTTAAAGGTTAAAATGGCAGAGTCTGAAGCCCCAAGGAAGGTGAATGGGAGGGCTAGTAGTTGGGTCTGAGATAACCAAGCTAGATAGGAGGAGGACCAGGGCTCTGGGCCGGTGTCAGCAGCCTGGCTGGCCCCCATGAAGCCCTTGAGGAATATAGGTAGGGACTATTGGCTTTTCATACACCCTTGCTACTAATGCAGATAATCATAACAGACTTAATCGTAAGTAAGGATGACTACCATCAAGAAGCTTCCACCTAGGAGACCACCCCATAGACAGGGAGCAAAATATGAGGTAATCAAGAAAGACCGCAGCTACATCTTTATGGCTGGGATAGAGTTAACTATCTGCCATAGTAAAGCTGATCATGTACATGTGTCCTAGTTTGGCTCTTCATTGCTGTGACAAAATACTCTGACCACTACCAACTTGGGGAGGAAAGGGTTTATTTGGCTTACATCTCCCAGGTCACGGTTCATCAGGGAGCCCAAGGTAGGAACTCAGGGCAGGAACCTGGAAGCAGGAGCTGGAGCATAGGCCATGGAGGATCACTGCTTACTGACTTGCTCCCCTGGCCCCTGCTCAGCCTGCTTTCTTATACAACACAGGCCCACCTGCCCAGGGGTGGTACCACCCACAGTGGGCTGGGCCCTCCCACATCACTCAACAATCAAGAAGGTGCCCTTACTACCAGCACTTGAGACACCAGCAAGGTCAGAGGGTAGTCATGCTGGCTAAGTAACTAAAGAAGACAGTCAAGGTCGAAGCAGAGGGGTCTTTATCCCTAACTTGGTGGGCAGTACATGAACAGCACATGATCATCTCCCTGGTTCAGCTACAGGGATAGGCATACAGAGTGTGGGCCCTCTATTAGCTCAGCCTATGATAGCCTGGGAAATTGACCAATCTTAGTAGAGATTTCTTCAGTCTTAGTTCAATTTTTTCCATGACCTTCTGAAATTCCTAGACAAAGGAAATTCGACAGCTTTTTTCCTCTCTTGGAAACCCCTCATTTGAGAATTTCACTCATTTTTCCTTCATTTCCCACTTTTTCTCAGTTCCTCACTTTTCTGTAATAATTCTTTTTTTGGGGGGGGGGGAGACAGGGTCTCAGTATGTAGCCCAGGCTAGCCTGGAACTCATGGGATCTGCCTGCTTCTGTTTCCTGAGTGTTGGGATTAAGGGCATGGGCCACCACACCTAGTTTCTATAATAATTCTTAATAAAGCCTGCTTCCGTTTTGTTTATTCCCACAAGAGTGTGCATCTTTATTTTCATTGGCATGACACAGTAAACTTGGGAGCCACAGTCCAAGGTGATCTTTGGTGACTGAGTATTTGACACCCTAAATCCTTGGGTCATACACAACTGAGCCAAGAAAGATCCCATCACACTTGGAACTCCTGCATCAGTGTTACAAATACCTGTAGAAATCAGTGTTATTCATTACCCTGTTACCCCTGTAAAGGAATTTTTCTGATATAGTTTCATTTCTCTTTGCTCTGGCTGCTTGGATGTTCAGAAAGTTAAGGTATAGTGACATAAACTTAGAGTTGACATTCATAAAAAACTAGCTCCTGAAAAAGACACAGGTTTTGGAGTCAAAGCTAGATTTGAACTTTAATCTGTCACCATGTGTCTGTGGGTGGGAATCTTAAACTCTCCAAGCCTGAATTGTACAGTAAGGATGGCATTGGCCTTAGAGAGTTGGTAACACACCTGCACCATAGAAGGTTTGGTAGTTTTCCCCCAAACCTCTTCCTTTTTTCTTATATAAATATGACATATACTGCCTCATATCCTTTTTGGAATCTATAATAAATTAAAGAACAATAGAATATTTGGACCTTTGGTGAAAAGCAACTGATTGAAAAAGCATATACAGTTTTAGCAGAGCTATCCAATTTCTCCATTCTAAGCAACGGTTTTCCCCTGTTAATATCTTTGTATTCAAATCTCAATCCAAAATCAGACTGAGTATTCTTAATTTGAAAATGAGAATTTTAAACATTCCAGAAACTGAAAGTTTTTCAAATCTGCAAATATCCAGAACATTACAACTTCTGATGTCTGGAACACACCCCAGGCATGGGGTAAAGACTGTCAGCCTGTATCCCCTGCTCAGAGGCCCACCCTCCTGGATGTGTCCAGGCAGCTTCTCCCTCACCTCCTGGCCCATCACTTGGCCTTATTTTCTCCACAGCTTTCTTCACCCATTTGACATGACTCATTGTCTTCCAGGTTGGTCAGCTAACTGGGACTAGGTCTGTCTAAACTCACCTGTACTCCCAGTCTCCACACCAGTACTTAGCACTTGGTTAGCACTGAGTAACATTTGAGTGAGTGGAAACCAGGTAGAATATTCTACTTCAATCCCTTGATCACTTTGAAAGGGAAAAGGCATTTCCTCTGGCACAAGTTTTATTTTGAAACCATGCTTTTAGGACATATGGCCCAACCTATGTAAAGTATGATTGTATATACTATTTTTGAAGTAGAACTTTAGAGCCAGAGTCAAGGTGATTGTTATCTTCCTCAAGAAAACCGGCTCACTAAAAAAATGCATATGTGTTCTTTTTCTCTTTTAGGTCAAAGAGCCACCTGAAATCAATTTAGTTCTGTACCCTCAGGGCCTAACTGATAAAGAAGTGTATGTGAAAGTGGACTTAAGGGTCAAGTGCCCACCAACCTACCCAGATGTGTAAGTACCTTTATTAATAGCTTTGATATAATTTCACTTTCCTATTTTGACAACATAGATGCATTACAGTTAAGAGTATTTTCTCATTCCTCCCCCATCTTCCACAGAAAATTTCAGATCCTGTCACCTATATTTCAATAAAACCATATCAGCCATAGACATTTACATGGAACCTGTCTTAAGCCTCCTTATAGTGTAGAATACTCACTACAGATGCTAATATTTACTCACTGACTACTTTTTCTTCAGATACGTTAATGTTTATTTAATTCTGTATAAACTAGGGAGAAGGTAAAATCTAGAAGAAAAGGATAATGGCATGGCAAGTGTTTAAAGCCCTGAGTACCTAGTTTTAAAGTACTGTTAGCATCGGAAATGAGGTGGCCTTCTGTACCTGGTGTAGCCTTTTACTGCCTAGAATAAATAAAGGAGTGATCAGAGCTGCCATTCTCAGTGGGGCGCTACCCACCTGTCTGCGTGGCACAGGGCTGTGCCTTGTGCTACAGGCTTTAGTATCCAAGTCCAGCCCACCAATGCCAGGAATGTTCTCCAGTCATTGAGGCAACCAAAGTCTATTTCCAAACTCCCATAAAGGTGGTATTACCGATGGTTGAGAAACACTGACTAGAACAAAGACATTAGCCATCAGGACGCATTGGGCTCTTTGAGAAGTATATTCCATGTAAACTTTCCCCAGATGGTCCACATGGAAAGTCATATTGGCTAGGATCATGTTAAGTGGTTCAAATTGACTACAGGAAATAGTGAAGGTTTTTGAGAAGGAACATAGCAAATAAAAGGTAGCAGTGCCTTCCACAGTGGGTGGTAAATGAGTGGAGTTTGTGATTCCAAAAGATGAAGAACTGGAAAATTCAGTTCAAGACTATACTTCTTCAAATCAGTAATTCTTTTACTTCCAAGTCTTTTACTTCCATACTCTGTTGTCAGAGTATGCATAATAGCTATATAGAAGGTTAATTAATGAGAAAAATAATTATGTTTATGAAATAATACTACAACAGTGCTTCTCTGGATTTTGTTTTTTGTTTCATGGTATGAAATATAGTGTCTTTGTTGATACTATTTATTCATAGTTAGTACAGACCCCACAGGTCCAGGGCTCATTTCCACAAGATTGCTTCTGCTCAGATGTCAGGTACAAGTCCCCATACTTCTGACTCAGAACTTGTGGTTGTAAATTTGAGAGTTCCCACAACCTCCTTGTGTTATATGTAATGATTAATCATAAAGGATCTGATTCTAACACAGCCAAATAAGAGGACTGCATAGGACAAAGCATGGGCAGAGGCACAGAGCTGCCTGTTCTCTCAGACTGCCATCCTCAGCTTCTCCTTGTGTTCAGTAATCACAATACCCCAACCCTTGTTGTTCAGGAGACTTCAGGAAGGTTTTGTTCCATAGGCATGAATGATTGCTTACTTAAATCATTAAGCCTTGGTGATTGAACTCAGTCTCCAGCCATATCCTCCTCCGCAGAGGTTTGGGATGGGGTAGGAATTTCTCATCCCATGGTCAAAGCTTGGGCTCTCTGTGACCAGCCCCATCCTAATGCTCAGCAGGCACCCAACAAGAGTTAAACTCACTAGCATTAGCTCTGATATGGTTGAAAGGGGTTTGCCATGAAGAGCTTAAGATACTTCCTTCATCTCTGTCACTCATGAAATTCCAAGGGTAGGAGGGCCTCTGTGCCATAAACTAGGGGCAGAGATCACAGGTATATTTTCTTTATTGTACCATAGACTCAAGCACTCAAAATGTTTAACTCTTCAAGTCAATATAAAGGAAAAACCCGGATATATTAATTATAGTGTAATTTCTGAAAGTAAAAAAACTGGAACCATGTAGGTAGCTCATGCCTATAATGCCAGTATTTGAGAGACTGAGTCAGGAAGATTGTTAGTCCCAGACTAGCTTGTCTCTCCAAAACGGAATACTAGGACAGCACTTCTTGCCTGCACTATTGCTGTTGGACAGGATAACTCTTGTTTAGCAGGGCTGTCCTAGGCATATGAGAAGTCTAGTAGCATCCCTCACTTCTGTCTGTTGGACAGCTGGTCCCTGAAGTCTCCAGATATTGATAGATACCTCCTAGGAGGCCAAAACTGCCCTGGTTGAAAGCTGTTACTCCAAGGAACTCTTCAGATAAGTTGTGTGTCCATTTGATAAAAGGATTATGAGACGATTTTTTTAACAACCTAGAAATATATATGTTATAAAGCTAAAAAGGCAATATCAGCTATACAAAGTTATTAATCTGTCAAGAACATAAAATATCAAAGTTTAATTAGTATTGTAGATGACTTTTTCATCATTCTGTTAATATTGCTGATCGCTTTATTTTTAATTATTTTATTTTTTATTTTCATGTTATGTGTATGAGTATTTTGCCTGCATATGTGTAAGTGTACCCATGTTGTGAAAAGCCCACAGAGGCTAGTAAAGGTTGTCAGATCCCCTGAAACTGGAGTCATGGGCAGTTCTTAGCTACCACGTGGGTGCTAGGAATCAAACCCAGATTCTCTGGAATAACAAATGTTCTTAACCACTGAACTATTTCTCCAGGCCCTTGCTTAATTTTTTTTTTGTTTTGGGGGTTTTGTTTGTTTGTTTGTTTTTTGAGACAGGGTCTCCCTGTAGCTCCAGCTGGCCTGGAACTCTATATAGAGCAGGCTGGCCTCGAGCTCACAGAGATCCACCAGCCTCTGCCTTCCGAGTTCTGGGACTAAAGGCATACAACATCATGCCTGGCTTTAATTTTTTTTTTAATATTTATTATTTTTATTTTATGTGTGTGCGTGTATTGCCTGCATGTAGGTAAGTGCACCTATGTCACGCAATGCCCACAGAGAACAGAAGAGGCTGTCGGATCCCCTGGAACTAGAGTTACAGACAGTTGTTAGCTGCCATGTGGGTGCTGGGATTTGAACCCAGGTCTTCTGCAAAAGCAACCAGTGTTCTTAACTGCCGAGCCAACTCTCCAGCCCCATTTAAAAAAAAAAAAAATGTAAAGGAGTGAACATGGTGGTGTTTTCTTTAATCCCAGTACTTTGGAGACAGAAGCAGGTGGATCTCTGTGAGGTTGAGGCCACCCTGGTCTATATAGTGAGTTCTATGCCAGCTGGGGCTACATGGAGACCCTTTCTAAAGGTTGTGTGTGTGTGTGTGTGTGTGTGTGTGTGTAAAGGATAGGGAATATTTACAATCACAAGGACCTGATTTCAATCCCCAGGACTCATGTAAAAAGCTGGGCATGATAGTGTACACTGGTAGTCCCAGCTCTGGTAATCTCTGAAATTTGCTGGCCAGCCTTCCTAGCCTAATCAGTGAACTCCAAGAACTAGGAAGTGAGAGTCTCTGTCTCAAAAAAACAAGGTAGACAACTCCTGAAGAGCCATGCCTGATGTTGACCTCTGGCCTCCACATGCACATGTACACACCTGCATGTGTACACCTGCACATTTGCATACACACACATACACTTGCACATAGACACATACACAGAAACACAGAAGGCTTCATTTCAGCCACTGATGCTGTCCTTTTGGAAGAGAGAAGGTTCCTCCTTAGTAGTCCTTGGTACAGCTGTGAGAGAATCTTGGGTGTGATGGGTCATACATGGGCTCAGCAGTGTTGGCTCTTCTTAAGCTTTTGTCAAATACAAACTACCATCTCCCAGATTTCTACTTGTCTAGAAGATAATGACTGTAGCATCCCATCCCACAGGATGGGAATGAAGCATTAAGAGAGTGCACAGACAGGGTAATACACAGGGAGGCTTCACCAAGGTAAAATGCCAGGAATCTCTTAGAAATGCTTAACAGGAAGTGATGAATCATCTTATCAGTAAAATTAAATAAATCCTGTGTAATCCCAGAGAGTTAGCAATGGGTGTTTATTGGTTAGGAATAAACAGAAACCCTAAGGCTGATAGTATACACATCTTTAGTTTAAAATATTTGTTAGATGAGCTGTGAGGGATGAAGCAGCATGTGAACTAGGTGTCCTTAGAGTAGGTGTTTACATGATGTACTTGCCTGCGTTGGCTATGAGCCCCCAAGCTGCCTCCTTGTTTAGGAGGAGAATGAGTGACTGGCACAGCACCTTGTAAAAACCCTGGGTGGAGCATGGTGGCTGCATCTCACCCAGCATCTTCTGTTTCGTGCTAGAGCACGCAGAAGTGCAGGGCACAAGCCTGACTGATGGTGGATCAAGAAGTACCACACAAAAGCATACATGCCAGACAAGGTACAGGACTGATTTCTTTACTTAGGGCATTGGGACAAGTCAAAAGCAATAACTAATAATTGATGTTGAGTAGTTTTAGTCAGATTATAAAGCTGATATTAGAGACAGAAGAGACAGCCACTGGGGGCTTTCCCCAGGAAACGGCTTTGACAGTCCAGACTGAAGGCTGGGCCTCCCCCACTTCCCCACAGGGTACAGGCAACTACTCACTGATCACTGTCAGTGGAATTGTTGGGATATGGTTGAAGGCCTTCTGAGATTAAAGGGATGTGCTGCTAGTCACAGGGAGAGAGGTTCACCCAGGAGGTCTATGTGGAGCCCTCAGGCCTGCTGAGAACAGGTGCTTCCTTCTCAATTAACTCCTTTTCCTATGTGCTTTTTTGTCTTTTTCAGAGTTCCTGAAATAGAGTTAAAGAATGCTAAAGGTCTGTCAAATGAAAGTGTTAATTTATTAAAATCCCACCTAGAGGAAGTGGCCAAAAAGCACTGTGGGGAGGTAAGGCTTGATAAACTAGAGCTGTGGGGCTGGCAGTGATCTCCCATGTGCTCACTAGCCTGTACCTGCCTTTTCCTTGGCTTACAGCTTTGCTTTTGTGCCTCAAATCCAACTTTGACTGCAACATTGTTTCTTATTGGTATCTTCGAAGCGGGACTTAGTTATTTTATCATTTAATTTATAGGCTTTATGATTTACAAGCTGCAGAGTAGATCAGGAGAGTGCTATTGATGCTTGAGGATGTCTGTCAAGGCAGCTTGTATGAACCTGGCCTTGGCATCATGGCTGGATCTTAATTTGAGCTTTTCTGATGGAAAATGCAGACAGGTGATTTCTGACCAAACTTTCTTACCTTCTCCCTTTTGTTCAAGATTTATTTTTATTTTTTTAATTATATGTATTATGGAGGGTGGGGGGAGTGAGTGCAGATGTTCACAGAGTCCAGAAGAGGGTATTGGATCTCCTAGAGCCTGAGTTCCAGGCAGTTGTGAGCCTCCTGACATGGGTACTGAGACTCAAACTTGGGTCCTCTACATACTTTTACCCACTGAGCCATCACTCCAGCCCCAACTCACCTTTTCCTTTTGCATATCAGCCAAATGTACCTTTCTTTATCAACAATGAGTGATGTCTATTCCTCCAATGACTGTTCTGCACCTAAGCACGTACACTGTATTCAGTACTGAGTCTTATTTTAATCTTTGAACAGCAGGATCTGCAAATGAGTTCTCTATTGGTGGCAAAACTCTCTGGAGAGCAAGACTAGATGACTCCTGAGACTAGATGACTCCTGAGGGCATAAACTCTCTGGAGAGCAAGACTAGATGACTCCTGAGGGCATAAATCCCCTGTAAGCATAATTAATCTTTTCCTGATTTTTGCTTAAAATCCCTCTGTTTTTGCTTAGTGTGTTAGTCAACTTCCTGTGACTTAATAAATACCTGAAGTAAATCAACTTATAAAGAAAAAAGGTTACTTCTGGCTCAGTTTTGGAGGTTTCAGAAGTAATCAGTGGGCCTTATTGCCTTGGGTGTGTGGCCAGTTGTTAGCATTCATGTGGAAGTGCGTGGTTGGGGAAAATTATTCATAGCTCAGAAATAAAAGAGAAAAAAACAGGCCTGGGGTCCCACCCTCCCCCTCAAGAGCACACCTCCAAAAATCTGAAGCCCTGTTGGTAACCTCCATCAGTTAAACGTTCCACGACCTCTCAGCACCAAGCTGGGGGCCAAATCTTTAGGTCGAGGGCATTCTACCTATGCAGCTTATGTGTAACTCTCCCATTGTACAAGAACTAAGGAGAGTCAAGTAAGGACTAGCCCTAGGCCTCCCTGTCTGATTCAGTTAACCAAAGGTAACATTCACTTCCTGCAAACTGACTGGGCAGATTTTCACTTGGGTCCATACTCTGGTGAATCTATGAGGTGCTCTTTGGCAATACAGATTTGTCCACTCAAATTGCTTTTTACAAGAAGTCTGGTGATTGATAAAGTATGGAGAGTGAAGAAAGAACAGTCTTGATCAAATACCATGGGAATTATTCCAAAGTTCTTTCAAATACAGGGGCATTATAATACCTAATGGAAAAATAATATGGAATTATAGTGAGATTTCATCTGCAGAAAATCCTCTGATCTTTTGAATTCATGACTTGTGATTTAAATTTTTCGGCTTTATTTTAAATTGTTATTTTATGATAATTGTAGATTTACATCAGTTATCAGAAGTAATACAGAAAGATCCCATGCACACTCTACCCAGTTTGCCCAGTAATAACATTTGCAGCAAACAAGTACAGTATCACAGCCACAATACTGACAGTCATTCCATTCTTAGCCTAGTCCCTTCCCCTACTCTCTCTCTCTCTCCTTCACATATGGCAACCACTGTATCTGTTCTCCATTTCTGTAATCTCTTTAAAATGTTACATACAGTTTGCAACCTTTTGAGACTGGCTTTTTTCACTCAGCATAATTCTCTGAAGAGTTGCCCAAGTGGTTAAATGTATCAATGGCATTGTATTTTACTGATAGAAATATCCATGGTATGAATATACATACCACTGTTCATTTAACCATTTACAAGATGAAATATGTCCAAACTCTTTGAAGATTGGGGCTATTGAAAATAATATTACTATAAATATTTCTATATAGATGCTCTTCAACCTACAATGATAAATACATCATAAGAAAAAGATGGGCTTAATATACCTAACATCCTGAATGCCATGGCTTAGTAACACCGTGCACTGCAGTGTCAGTTGTTTCTCTTCTGCTCATGCAGCTGACTGGGAGCTGCAACTGCCACTTATGTCCGGTATCATAAGAGCATATCATCCCACATATTGCTAGTCCAGGAAATAGATCGAAGTGCAATCAAATGTTATTCAACCTTAAATAAGGTGTGACATTAGCTACAATACCATGTGATTGTGAGGACATTTATAGTAAGAGAAATATGCTGGTTATATAGTAAGATAAGTATTGTATGACTATATCAGATTCTCAAAGTAATCAGATTCATGGAGATTAAGCAGAATGGTGGCCTCTAGGGCTAAGGAGACTAGAGTGGTAAGTGAGTGGGAATAGAGTTTCAGTTTGGAAAGCTAGAAAAGTCTCGAAATGAATGATGGAGATGGTTACAAAATGCTACTGAATGTTTAAAATAGTAAATATTATGCTATGTAAGTTTTGCCACAATTTGAAGAAAGCAGTACTTACCAGAGGCATAACAATATTCAAAGGGTATAAAATGTGGGGCTCGAAGTGCAAATCACCATTCTTGTTTGTCTAAAGTTTGTTTCCATAAAGTCTGAAGTACTGGAAGTCTAAAATATAATTCTGAAATTTTTTATTTTCAAGTAAAATTGAGTGTAATTAAGTATTTGGGGATTCAAGTGGTAGGGCATTCCCTGATAACTGGTTGTTAAAATAATGAGTCATAGCCGGGCGTGGTGGCGCATGCCTTTAATCCCAGCACTCAGGAGGCGGAGGCAAGTGGATCTCTGTGAGTTCAAGGCCAGCCTGGTCTACACAGTGAGTTCCAGGACAGCTGGAGCTACAGGAAGACCCTGTCTCAAAAAGACCAAAATGATAATAATAATAGGCACTCAAAAACAGTGAGCTTGTGAGCATTGCCACTTGCCTCCGAGTGATTTTTAATTCTATACGACAGCTCTCTGTCAATCCTATAAAAGTAATCTAAAACGTACCCGAGACTCTATATTTTAAAATTAGTGAAGTCAAAGGTATTGATTTCTTTCAAGAATTCATTAGGCAATTATTTATTTCCTGTCTACCTCATATACCATGCTGACACCACTAAAACCACAGTGAGCAGACCATTTGGCCACACTGAAGGGTGCAGACAGGGCATGGTCTAATTAAGTATCACAATTGGTCTGGAGAATACTGGTGAGGGGTGTTGAGTATGAGGGTGCAGTATTTATGTAAGGAGTGCAGGAGAGCCTGAGGCAAGTCCTGAGCCATGTGGCATGGGGGAAAGAGGGTTAAGAACCAGTTTGGAATGTAGTTACTTTCATCTAGTCTTATAAATTTTATCAGACTTAACTGCTCAGAAAATGCTCATAAATTAAATTGATAAGAGCAAAACTTTCAAGAGCTCTGCTCCTACCCCTTTCTGGGGAAATTACCTGCTTTTCCCAGACGAGCTTTCCTTAGAGCTTTCCCCTAGTCTTTAGACTAGTGTCTCTCAACTCTAAGTTGAAATGCATCCAGTAAATACCACAGCTTTTGATATTAAAAAAAATACATCAACTTTACCCAGCAAGGGCTGTGCTTTCTTAGTATTTATAGTATTTATTCCCTGACAGAAAGGTAGAATGCCAGATGAACTGACTGTAGTCTTCTGTACAGTAATTCTGTATAAACACTTTAGTCCCTTTAGAAACTAAATGTGTAGAAATAAAACATTTTTAAAATTTTATTTATTTTCATTTTATGTGTATGAGTGTTATGCCTGCATGTATGTAAGTGCACCCATGTTGTGCAAAGCCCGCAGAGGTCAGAAGAGGGCATCAGGTTCCCTGGAACTGGAGTTATAGATGGTTGTTAGCCTCCATGTGGGTGTTGGGAATCAAACCCAGTGCTTTGCAAGAGCAGCCAGTGCTCTTTAACTGCTGAGCCATCACTCCAGCCCCAGAAATAAAACATTTTAAATTCTTTCGTTACTATTCTGGGGGAAAGGAACCTCAGTGCCATGTTCCTCATCAGCAAGAGCAGCTTGGTACTGTGCTCTGGGTGGGTGCCAGTCAGTGTGAGATCTCAGAAGCCCTTGTCCTATTGATTTCCCACCCCAGGTTTGGTTTATGGCTTAGCCCTGGAGTGGGAGAGAGTGGCTTCCTCTGATAGCCCAAAGAATGTCTGGGGAGGCTTCTCCTTCCTGCCTCTGTGAATGCTTCCTGAGTGGAAATGGAATACCTGCCAGGTTCTGCCAAGCCTCCTACTGGCTTATTACTAGCAGGAGAGAGTGAGGACTTCCCATGTTTGCCTCTGTGCCTCCAGTATTGTACCAGTGTGCTGTGTGTACAGGTGAAAGCTGTGATGCCAGAGGGGAGCCTTCTGCTCAGCTGTCATGTAGATGGCTTTCTACGTGGGAAGATAGCTTCTCCTTTCATGCATTTGCAGGTATTTTTTTCAGATTTATTTGCAAAGGGAAGCTTTTTATTTATCTCAGTAGCAATTTGTCTTGATTACAAGATGAAGTGAGCCCTTAAAAAGCTTGCCTGCTGTGGTTACATAATATATCTAATTCCGAACATGGCAGAGCAGAGTGAATGATAGCATCATAGGAGCCAGCTCATCTTGCTGCTGGGTGGCCTCTCCTGTGTGGGTCCTGTCTTGCCATCATCTGATCATTTATGGTTGGGTTTTGTTTACATGTATAGGTGATGATATTTGAACTGGCTTACCACGTGCAGTTATTTCTCAGCGAGCACAATAAGCCCCCTCCAAAGTCTTTCCATGAAGAAATGCTGGAAAGGAGGGCTCAGGAGGAGCAACAGAGGCTGCTGGAGGCCAGGCAGAAGGAGGAGCAGGAGGTGAGACATGGCTGTTGGTGCTGCCCCAGCAGGGAGGCCTTCAGGTTGCTGTATATCTTTATTCAGTCTCTGCCTGTGAATGTGTCTGGGAGCTTGGCTCAGCATTTGATTTAAGAAACATGCAGTCATGTAAGAGAAGTCCCTAAGAGTCACTGAGAAACGTTACATGACTCCTCAGCAGTGGATGCTGCCCTTCCAGTCCTTCATCCAGGTCTTGAAAGAAGATGAGAGAAAGATAAGGGAGGCCCTTTGACTGAGCTGCCTGTAATCTCCAATTATGCAGAATTCACTCCATTTGAATGCTCTTTTCTTTCTCCTTATTGAGACAGATAGCCAGTGCCCCAGTGAATAGCCAGTGCCCCAGTGAATCTCTGTGAGTTCAAGGCCAGCCTGGTCTACATAGTGAGTTCCAGGACAGCTGGGTCCACAGGGAAACCCTGTCTCAAAAAGACCAGAAGAAAAAAAAAAAAATGTTTTCAATTTAGCCCTTTGATGAACTTATTTAGAACTTATCTGGGTGCAGGTTATAAAAAGACAGCCTGAGATTAATCTTTTCCCCAAATATTTCCCTAATTTCTCATTAAGTGATTCTTCATTCACATTCATCAAGAAGTAATTTGTAATATTTCCTTTAAAGTGTATTTCAGTCAGGTGTGGTGGTGCAGTCTTTTAATCCCAGTACTGGGGAGGTAGAAGCAGATGTGTCTCTGTGAGTTTGAGGCCAGCCTCGTCTACAGAATGAGTTCCAGGCCAGCCAGGGGTATGTAGTGAGACCCTGTCTCAAAAAAATCAAGTGTATTTCAATTGCTAATCTATGCAACATTCCACTGGTAAATTATTCAGTACATCTGTTTTTTCCCCAGTATCTTGTACAATAAATATTTGCGTCTTTGAATGCTTTTAATATTTAACAAGTCAACCTACCTTCTCCATCCCTTCATCTAACATATTATTTTCAGCCATTCGCTCTCCCCGACTTATCTCCGCTTCTATTTCTTTCACATTTTTTTTTCCAAAGCAGGGTCTCACTATGTAGCCCATTGCTGGGATTACAGCCATGTCCACTGTACCCAGCTTTGCGCATGTATTCTTACAGATTAACTATGGGATTGCTTCTTCAAAGCCAAAACAAAGCCTCTGAGATTTTGATTGAAATTGCACTAAATTTTCATGTTTGTGAAGAATTGACATCTTTACAGTAAGCAGACTTCTGATCTAGGACTATTGCATTTATTTTTCTCTCTTGGTAAGGAAGTCTAGTTTTCTCAATATAGAAATTAGTACTTCTGTTACTCCCAAGGTTTGGATTTTTTTGTTTGTTTTTGTGTTTGTTTCTTTTTTCTTTTTATTTTATTTAAATTTTAAATTAGCATATATTAGTATTTCAAAATAGTTGGTTTCATTATACATGCATATAGCATATTTGATTGTATCCACTACGCCTGCTACTCTCTCCTATCCCTCCTTTTCTCCAGTCCCCTGGCCACTTTCCTCTTCCCAAATAGACCCTTCCTGCTTTCTTTCTACCATTAGGTTCTTTGGCCTGCCTCCTTTCTGCTTCGTTTTCTCCATCTTGTGTTATGTTAATACTCTTTTTTGTGTTGTATCTGTAGAACGTTTATGACAAGTCAAGCCTATCCTTCTCCATCCCTCATACTCCATTAAAATGGGTCTCATCCATTTCTGCTTATCTCCCATTAAACTGTATAGAATCACCATTTAGAGTATCTATTTCTTTATTATTGGAAGATAGTGGGTATTTAGCGCTAACCATCTTGTTTTAGTGTTCTGTGGTAGCTACCTGTAAGTTTAAGTTATGTTTTCACATTTTTTTAAACACTTTATTTTTATGTGCATGTTTTGCCTGCATGTGTTCTAAGTGTACCAATGTGTCTGCAGTGCCCACAGAGGCCAGAAGAGGGTGTCAGATCCCTGGAACTGAAGTTATAGGCAGTTGTTAGCCACCACATGGGTGCTGGGAATCAAACCCAGGTCCTCTGCAAGAGCAGCAAGTGCTCAACTGTTGAGCCATCTCTCCAGCCTTCTGTGTTTTCACATTTTATATTATAGCTTTTTGTGACAATAGTTTTGATATAACTCAGAAATGTAGAGAACTAAGACAAATGGATGGGGGCTGGAGAGATGGCCCAGCGGTTAAGAACACTGACTGCTTTTGCAGAGGACCCGGGTTCAATTCCCAGCACCCACATGGTGGCTACAAATCACCCTTAACTCCAGTTCCAGGGGAATCTGAAGCCCTCTTCTGACCTCCGCGGCATTGCACAGCACGGGTACACTCACATACATGCAGACAATACAATCATACACAAAATAAAAATAATAAAATATTTAAAAAAAAAATGGATGAAGATAAAAATACTACTCTTAATATTTAAAAGGCTAATGGAGAATGCAAGTGAAGAGTGTGCTGGGTGGGTATGGTGCCTGGGCCTTTGCCACCACAGGCCTAGGCTCTGAGGACAACTTGGCCTACCTCCACAAAGCCAGCCCAGGCCCTTGACAAAGATCAGCCTCTCTGCTCATTTCCTGCACACAGGAAATGAGTAGACAGCAAAGAAAAGAGAAGTGAAGATAGAGAACAGTGCTTTCCCCACACAGCCCTAAAACAGCTACGAAGCCTGTTTCTTAAGAATACTGATGGTACCAAAGATCTATGATTCCAGAATGTACATATTGTATAGATTACAGAGATTGGCATCTGACTGTGGTTTGATTTATTTCAGCAACGTGAAATCCTTTATGAGATTCAGAGAAGGAAAGAAGAGATCAAGGAAGAGAAAAAAAGGAAAGAAATGGCTAAGCAGGTATCTGTCAGTTCTGCTGTACTAGAAGAATTTGCATTTCCTGTCATAAAATGCTTTTATTTCCATTGCTAATATTTTTCCTTCTTGTGTTATTATTAGTAGTAAAACTTAAAATGAAGTTCCAAACTTTCATTTACTGTGGGTAAATGTTTGTTTGTTTGTTTGTCTGTGGGAAAGGGAGCTTGAGACAGGGTCTCACTATGTATGCTAGCCTGCCTTTGATATCACTATATTACCCAGGTTGGCCTCAGCATCCCTTGTGCTGAGATGACACTGATGTTTCACTTACTATCTATTTTTAGATTTCCCAAATAGGTGGCAAAATTTGTTGTTGTATATTATCTGTAAATGACTTCAACTTACATGATTATAGTAATTTATCAAGTGAATTGAGAAAAGATTGAAATTTTGTTAATTAGCCTGGAGTAGCATTCAAAGACTCCCAAATAAAACTATTTGTTCGTATTGAAGAATAAATGGACGCGATATGCACCTGCCTGAAACATTATAAAGTAATAAAAAAAGAATGATTCAACAGAAAATTCAAAAAGAAAAAAAAACAGCTCTGTGTTTTTGGAGATAATCCCCTTGTTTTCTAGAAGCATTTGGCTAGAAGGGCCCCATGCAGTGGCTACAGGAAACAACACCTCTGTACTGTCCTACTGTGACCTTGAGATGTGACTCTGTGACTCACTTTCCTCTCTTAAAAACAGAGGAACTGATAATGCCTTACCTCCTGTCTCATGTAAGGTACTACCCTGGGTAAAACTGCATACAAATCTGATACTTCTGTTGCTCCCAAGGCTTGAATCTGATCTTCCTCCAATCGGCAACTCTTCTATCTTTTTGAACCACCCCCCTCTGGTCCTTTTCTTTAGCTGTGCCTCCTAACTTTCCATGCATATTCCAAGATTCTAAGCATTTTCATTTATAAAAATCACATTCTTTTAAAACTGTAACCTAGATTTCACTTATTGACCCAGTACAAATTTGAGCATTTTTTTTTCAGTGTGCGTGTGCACGTGTGTGTGTTGTGTGCATGTCAGGAATAAGGGTACTCACACTCATGGTTGTGCATATGGAGGTCCAAGGTCAACTTGGGGTGGTTTCTGTCTTATTTTGTGAGTCAGGGTCTCTCTGAATCTTACTAACTGGCTAGATTGGCTACTGACTGACCCTCCAGGACCCTCCTGTCTCTGCCACCCCAGCAGTGGGTATACAGGCATGCAGCACCACATCTGGTGGTGGGTGCAGGGAATATTAACTCCAGTCCTCATGCTTGTGTGTAGCAATCTCCCCAGTGCCCATTAAATCTTTAAAAGTTACATTATACTATAACACTTGTAAACTATAGTTAGTTTTAATTGTTAACTTGACCCAACCTTGAATCATCTGGGAAGAGACTCTCAGTGGTGGATTGTTTACATTAGGTTGATTGTCCTAGTTGCTAATTGATGTGGGAAGACCCAGCCCACTGTAGGCAGCACCATTCCCTGGTTTGGGCCCTGGACTGTGTAAGAGTAGAGAGTGGCTGAGTACTAGGCATGTGTACTCCATTCATTCTCTCTGCTCCTGACTGGATGTAAACAACTGTGAAGCACCTGCCACTGTGACTTCCCTACAATGATGGATGGTAACCTGGAATGGTAAGCTAAAATAAATGCTTTCTCCCCCAAGTTGCTGCTTGTCAGGATATTTTATCAAAGCAACAGAAATGAAGCTAGAGCATAAGCATTCAGATCACATAAAATTCATACTCTATACTGAATGGATAATTCCATACCATGCTTGTGTTCCACTTGATGACTTACATCTAAAGTAGGTTTTATTCTTTTTCTAGGAACGTTTGGAAATCACTAGTTCGTCAAACCAAGATCATACCTCTAAGAGAGACCTGGGAGGACCCAGAACAACTGCCATTCTGCATGGAGGCTCTCCTGACTTTGTAGGAAATGGTAAACCCCGGGCAAACTCCTCAGGAAGGTCCAGGTAAGTCCCTAGGATTTCTCATGTGAGAGGGCAAAAGATGTAGAAGGATTAAGATGACTGGTAGTGAACTGTGCAGGAATTGTCAAGTAGGAGTCTTAATAAAATTTTTAGCCTTTATATGTCTTAATCTATTCATTAGCTATATGAAGCCAAAATTCATTTAACACTTTACAAGTGTTACTTGTTTTTGTGGTACTGGTATTTGAACCCAGGGTCTCACCCATGCTGGCTAAGTGCTCTATCACTGAGCTGTATCACTAGTCCTTTTTCATTTATTTTGAGGAAAAATCTTACCATGTAACCCAGATTAGCCTCAAGCTTGTGACCCTCCTGCCTCAGGAATTAACAAGCTGTAGTTAACAAGCATGTATCACCATGTCTGGCACAAGTATCTTTAATGAAACCAGTTTCTTAGCTCATACCCCTTTAGAACAGCCTAGGACACTTCATAATCTCACCTTCAGTATGAAGTTTTTTTATCCATCCCAAATCATCACCATCCAGTCAAGTCTCATATTTCATGCTATGTGTTTCAGCCTGTAAATTGTTTTGTTTTGTTTTGTTTTTTCAGACAGGGTCTCATGTAACTCAGGCTGGCCTCAAACTCACTACATAGCCAAGGATGACGTTGAACTTCTCATCTTCCTGCTCAGGGCCTTGTATATAGTAGGCAAGCACTACATAGCACTACATCCTCAACCTTTCCTGTGACACTCTTAACACTGTTTGTACAAATTAGTTATAATGGGGTGATGAATATTCTAAAACACATGGAAACTCATCAGCTGTCAGACATTTGGATGACCTGGACTAAAATGACTGTGTAGACCATCTGCTGGCAGGGGTAGAGCTGATACAGAGGGGCTTTTGGATTCTTTATATATAGAGTCTAGCATATCATTTTAAACCTTTGCTTTTGCCTTTTTCTCTAGCATATAATTTTAAAGCTTTGCTTTTGCCTTTTTCTCTGCAAACCTCAGTGTGCTGTTGTTTGTACGAGCAGCTTCAGAAGAAGCTTAAACAGTACTACAATGTACTGATCATTCCCCAGTGTTTAGGATATGTGAAGCATATGTGTGGTTCAAGAGACCCAGTGTGGGAAGAGGTCAGAAGGGAAGAGTTACAGGATTGGAAGCAGAGAGGCTGGGTAATTATGGAGCATTTAATGTAACTGGGAGAAAGCTGGACATGGCCTGAACTGGACAGGGAGCTAGAGAAGACAGGCTGGCACTGGGGAAATCAGTTAGATGCAGGAGACCTAGGACCAGTGACAGAGCATGGATGGTCATGCCACCAACCAAAGTCAGAACCAAGGGAAAAATCATGTTGACAGTGGGGGAGAACGATGTTGGTTTGGCCATGTTTGCAGTGGTGAATAGAAGGTGGAAGGAGTGAGGACAGGGAGTTTGTCAGTTTGAATATGAAGAGCAAGGGTGGGCAGGTATTGCAGCATGAGAGGTGAGGTAGAGAGGTAGGTTGAACATTCAGGACAAAAGGACTAACTCATGGACCAAGATCTAGGGACTATAGGGATTGGAACTGAGGGCATTTTCTATAGTTTGTCCTCAGTGTTAACCCCAAAAGAAAGACTGGTTGGTGCCAGTACCAGTGTCAACCTACTTCATAGGTGGTACAATAGGAAACGTGGACTTCATTCTGTCTTCTTGTTCTTGGTAAAAGTCACAATCATGCTTAGCATAGGAGGTGATCTCTTTAGAGACCTGACTGGACTTCATCAGAGTGTTTCTAAGGAGTGTTGAATTATGACCATCAAGATCTCTCTCCCTTACTGCTTCACTGCAACCCTGTCCCCCTGTTTATTAATTATTTTTCCATTTTCTGGTTTCCTAGCTTTTGCTCCCCATCCAGAGAAGAGGAAAGGGTAGAGGAGGGTATGTGGAGAAAACAGGAAAAAGAAAGAAATAAAGAGGTTAGATTTATAGTATTTTTGAAAAGTCATGAAGAGGAATAGCAGAGAGTAACTATCAAAGACAGATAAGAAAATGAATGAGCATTCAGTGATCCAGCACCCAGTGGGATTCTGGAATTGTAGGGACTTTAAGCCCCATGTTTCAGAGCTTTCTCCCTATGCAACGTATGTGGGAATGAAAAGATGTGGGATTAATCTAAATTACCACTGGCCAGTTGGACTTTCTATGGTGATGCACGTGTTCTGCATCCCTGTTGTCCAACAGCCAGCAGCCTCCCATTTGAGAACACAAGACCTGAATTTTTAATTTTTTAAAGTTTATTTACTCTGTGTGTGTGTGTGTGTGTTGTATACACACGCACACATGTACATGCCTGCCATGCATACTTGGGAAGTCAGAAGACAACTTTGTGGAGTCAGTTATCTCTTCCTACCTTTACTTGGGGATCAAACTCAGGTGATTGGGCTTGCATGACAAACTCCTTTACCTACTGAGTCATCTGGTTGGATCAAGATCTGAATTTTATTGTCAGTTTAAATAGCCACAAGTGGTGGTAGAGTTTATGGTGTTCATGTATAAAAGGGAACTGTAGGAAATGTATAGTTGAACAGCTTTCCCATTAGCCCCTTCAGCTCCAGTCTAGTAGACACAGAGATTGGACTGAATGGGTAATAAGAGAAATGGAGGGGAAAGAATTGTAAAGAAAAAAAAAATTGTCCAAATTTATTTTTAAGGCGAGATCGTCAATATTCTGCATGTAGTAGTGAAGATTCTCCTGGCTCTTGTGAAATCCTGTATTTCTGTGTGGGTAGTCCCGATCAGCTCATGGTGCACAAAGGGAAATGTATTGGTGAGTAAACTGGCTACGTTTGTTCGTTTATTAACCAAACTTAATCATGGAAGACCAATATAAAATAAACTGTATCATCTAAGTCAGCAGAGTCCAAGGAAGACTATCGAGTAGGTAGCTAGTAATTCCAGCCCCCATCCTCAGGCCTGGGATGAGAAGTTACTCAGCTTTGCTCTGATTTCAGGTGGAGTAAAACTTGACCCTTGGAAATATTGTTAGTGTAAAGATAGTTCTAAATTTGTCATTATAGTGACCCAAGCTTTTGAAACAATAAAAAATTGAAATGTTGTCAGTCAGTAGAATTTGAAATTGTGTGTGTCTAATGCTGATGAAAATACATGTGAACAAAATGCCCTCTGCTGCCTGTGATCTTTACTAACCAGATTTCATTTTCTTTTTTTCATGTGGTACTAAGGATCAAATTCAAGGACTTATGCATGCTAGGCCAGCACTCTGCCACTGAATCACATCCCTAGTGCTTAAATCTCATTTTTTTAAATTATATCCATCTGCCTGGCATTTTCCTGCATAGCATGTTGTACCTGACCAGGAAAACCATTTTCATGTCTCTACATCTTACTTAGCAGTTTTGGCTACTGACAGCTGCTTGGAATGGGCCTTGTTCTACAATTCAGGATTTGAATTGTCTATTTTAAATCAAGTTTTCTGTATCTACTTTCTTTGCCCTAAATATACATCATCTTTTCTTAGCCATATAGATAAGTTACTAACTGGCACAGGGCTTACCTGCTTGTAGTGAACTTGATAATTAATTTAATTTTGATTCCACAAATATTTTTGCCAGAACTAGTGGATACCTACATCATCAAATCAAGTTTGCTTTCTTTCAGCATTTTGTCCCTTCATTTTAGAGAGATATGAATAAGCAGGAGAGCAGTGAGTGAGGGTACAGCAGATGGAGGGAGGGAGAAGAAACCAAACATCTGAAGGGCTGTGATCTGGACACCTCACCTGGCTACTGAAAGCAGTCTGGGCAGAGTAGATTTCCGCACGCACAAGGCTACCACACTTGGACAAAGCAACCACTGTACTGGGTAGGACCGTGGTTACAGATGGTTGGCCTTAGACCTCAGCCTGTCCTTGACTCATACACATTTCAGATTCTTGAACTGGCAACATAAAACTCCTATTTTTTAAAATATTTTCTTTATTATTTTTATTTTATGTATATAAGTGTATTGCCTGCATGTATGTGAGTACACCCATGTCATGCAATGCTGCGGAGGTCAGAAGAGGGCTTCAGATTCCCCTGGAACCTGGAGTTAAGGATGGTTCGTAGCCACCATGTGGGTGCTGGGAATGGAACGCGGGTCCTCTGCAAGAGCAGTCAGTGCTCTTAACCACTGAGCCATCTCTCCAGCCCCAAAACTCCTATTTTTAATAACCTAGGGAAATCAGGAACACAAATTATCTTGGTCTCTTATTCTCATTGGTGCTTATTAGTCAGGTTCACCTTAGATAATATTTTCATTAGGAGGCACATTTGCATCTGGAGAATTTCTTTTGAAAATACCAAGGGGAGGGGCTAGAGATGGTGTGATGGTTAAGAGCTCTGGCTGCTGTTGAAGAGGACCAGGGTTCAGTTCCCAGCACCCATATATATGGTGGCTAGCAACTGTATGTAACTCCAGTTCCAGGGGATCTGATGCCCTTTTCATGCCTCCGAGAGCATTGCACACATGTGGTACACTAACATACATACAGGTAATACATTCATACACATAAAACTAAAATAAATTTTAAAAAAAGAAGCGTATATTATTTAACTTTTCACAATGGGTCTGGTTTTGTAAATAGGCCCTAATTTCCTATGAAACGTTTTTAAAGACAACTAATTTTTAATTTTCAATAAAATATTTTTTATTTATTTTTATAATTTTTATTGAGCTTTTTGTAATTTCATACAATAGTTCTTAATCAAATTTAGACTCCCTCCCCTATCCGTGCCCCCCCCCACTGGACCTCATGTATTCTGCCATACATGTTAAGTCTCATCCAGTTAAGCATTTGTACCTAGATGTCCTTCAGTGCAAATTCATCCACTGGAGTCTATCAGCCCATCTAGAGATCGTATGTAAGGCATACTCTCCCTCATCCAGCATCAATCAGTCTCCAATAGTTCTCAGTCTAGGGCTGACCCACCACTCATTTCTTCCCTCTGGGCCCTTGTTTAATTGAGTTTGCATGGGTCCTGTGCTCAATGCCACCATTGCTCCAAGTTCACATGTTCAAGCTTCCAGCGGCCTGAAAGCCTCTGCTTCCCTGTGTTCATGAACCAGCCCTGACTCTTAACAATCTTTCCACCCCCTCTTCCAAAACTGGTCCCTGAGCCATGGGTAGGTGAGGTTCAACAGGAATCCTATCCAGGGATACACACTCTGCAGTTTCTTATTCTTTGAAACTTGGCCAATTGTGGCCTTCTGTGTGCATCACTAATATGGATCCTTGTATTTACAGACAAGCATACAGTATACCACTCATCAAAGAAGCTTATTTTTGCAACAGATGGAGGCTCCTTTAGAATTCCACAACTGGTCAGACACAGAGAATATAGGTCTGAGAGATGCCCCAGTACTAGGTGACACATCTACAGTTGAACCTCTATACCTAAGACTCATGAAACATAGCAGAACCAAGGGGTAGAGAGAAAACCAATGCATCCCTCAGCTCTCACTAGTATTTTTTGTATTTTGAAAAGCAGCTAATGTTTGTTTTTCAGCTTAAAGTTTTTGGAACTAGAGAGAATAGAGCATTGATTTATGGATGTAGATGAGGTACTGATGGACCTGTCTGGATAAACTGATTGTTGCTGGCCTGTGACAGTCTCAGAGTTCTTTTGGCACCACGTTTTCCTTCTGCCTCATCACAGTATGTTTTCTTGTTCCTTTCATTGCCCCCATTGCAAATAAGTGCTATGGGGATAGTGAAATGGAATTCTCATTTTAAACCCCCAGCAATTATGAAACGCCTACCTGGCTCTACCACATGGGGAGATAAATATAAGAAAAGGGGCTGTATACACACACACACACACACACAATGAATGTTTATACACATATGAGGCAGTGCACTATGCAGCATATAGATTAATGAGATTTCATGTAAATAAATCACATCATTCTCCATCCCATAAGCACAGCATCAGTTTCTCCAATGAGCTGCTCAGATCTGATGTTTCTAAAGTTGCTTTCTCTTGTTGACAAGTTTTCAAACATCAGGGTTTTCACCCCTTAAGCTTAAACTTAGGAGTCATTATGACAGGCAAATAGATCATTTTAATTAGAATCTCTAAATTATCAACATTTCACAAAGTAAAAACTGCTTGTCAAATGCAAAATCTAGATGAGGTAATTCAGCTGTAATTCTCCAAAGTACCTTTGCTAAAACTGCTTTATATATACAGGTCATTTTCACTTCTCCTTTTTCAAATGGAAAACATAATTAGCAGTGCCTCTTAGATTATTTTTCTTCATTAGGAAGATGAGGTAATATCATGAAAAACTAGTATTTATGTACTAAGAAGAAAGGGTAGAGGCTGGGCTGGGGAAATAGCTTAGCCAGTAAAGTGCTTACAGGAATACCTGAGTTCAAATCCCAGGACCCACGTTAAAAATAAAAATCAGGCACAGTGACATGCACTTGTAATCAGGGGAGTTGGAGACAGTGGATCCTTGGGACTCACTAGCCAGAGGGCAGCTTAGCCTACTCAGCAAGTTCCAGGCCAGTGAAAAGACCCAAAGTACCTGCAGAACAGTACCCAAGGTTGACTTCTACACACACATACAATACATACTGTATTATTAGTTCTCAATGGGAAGTAAGCTAGTATCTTGGGGTAATTTGGTGAAACTGTTTTGTTCACTAGTGGTGGGGATTGAACTCCAGGCCTTACATACTCCGAACAGGCAGTCTACCACTGAGGTACACCCCAGCCTGCAGGCATTTGAGGTGGTTGATACTGTGATAGGGGTGCTACTTGAATCTAGTGGTTGGCAGCCAGGTACAAGACATCCCCTTACAACAAAGGACTATCTGACCCACAGTGTCAAGAGTGCCCTGGGTACTCTGTCTGCTATGATATGGCAAATTGGGAAGAAAAATTTAAAAGGAGGGTAGAGGAAAGTAAAAGAGAAAAATAAATCAAAAATTCTATTTTCTTCTTTTTCTATTATAGTCTTTAGTAGCAATGAAGATTTTTATATGAAAATTTTGGCATTACAGGAATTTAGGTCTCTGGGTAGGAACTGTGTGCCTATCAGCTAATGAAAAATGCATCTTTTTCCAGCTTTGAATTTCAGCTGTCATTTCTGGTTCTGTCCCTCCAAAGCATTGGCCAGTTTGGATTGCTGAGTGTATTGAAAGCATGTGTTTAGAAGGTCATTGGTGTGCTCGAATTTCAAATTAGACTAAAAATGTTTTGACTGTGCTCACTTGTTAGTGGAATGGTCTTCAGGAAGGTTCTCTTCTTCCTGAGTCCTCCTGTGGTCAGTGTGGAGCTGTGTGAAGCACAGCACCAGGCACAGTCAGCAGTGGTGAGTGTGAGGAAGAAAACACCATGAGCAGTCGGATTAAACTGCCACTCCCTCTGGTCCAAGACTGAGGTCTTGTCATTAATTCTGGACTTTCTGCAAAAATTAGTGTTAGAGGACTCAAGTTATGTCGATAAATATTAAAAGCTATTTAAAAATGCACATGTAAGCTGGGTGTGGTGGCGCACGCCTTTAATCCCAGCACTCAGGAGGCAGAGGCAGGCGGATCTCTGTGAGTTCAAGGCCAGCCTGGTCTACATAGTGAGTTCCAGGACAGCTGGGGCTACAGGGAGACCCTGTCTCAAAAAGACCAAAAAAAAAAAAAAAAAATGCACATGTATTATAGGATATTTGTCATAGTTAGCATGTGACTTCCACTGTTGAGAGTTAACATAGCCAACCCCCTTCCTCTGTTTCCCCTACAAGAAACAGAAAGTGCTATGGAATGACCTTTTCTGTCTTGTGTGCAGGCAGTGATGAGCAGCTGGGGAAACTGGTATACAATGCTTTGGAAACAGCCACTGGCAGCTTTGTGTTGTTGTATGAGTGGGTCCTTCAGTGGCAGAAAAAGATGGGCCCCTTCCTTACCAGTCAAGAAAGAGAGAAGATTGATAAGTGCAGAAAGCAGGTAGGTAAAGTGGGAGTGGTGGTCCACATCTGTAATTCTCAGCACCCAGTAGGAGGATCAGGGTTCAAGGTCATCCTTAGCTACATAGCAAGTTTGAGGCCAGCTTGAGCTACATGAGACCATGTCTCAGGGAAAAAGAGAGGACACCCAGTATTCATCATGGCTGGCTGACTGAAGGCCTAATCTCAAGCTTCAGTGATGACAAAAACAAAAAGCCCAACCTCTAATTGCCTCACAAAGGTGATCCACAGAAGGTGATGGTGTCCACCCAGGGAAGACCATGGGAGATTTGCACCTTCTTCCACAGAGTTCTCAACCCTCGTCCCCACTTTGAGAATCTTCACAGTTGCCTTCCTACCCTCCTGTCTCAGCCTTTATGGCATCTCTCCAACTGGGATTAATTACTATTTATTAATTAATTTTGCCTTTTCAATTATTTATAGGGCGTGGACTGGGAGGAGTATTGGTTTTGGTTTTGTGCCATGCTGGGAATGAGAAAAGAATTTTTAACTTTAGTATATAATGCCAAACTTAGGGGAACATTTAATATTGCACATTGTAGTTACATATTGAAGAGTCTATAAAACAGGTAAAGTATAATATTTAGAATTATATGTCTACTTATGTATAGAAAAATAAATTCATCAAAATCATTGGTGTTTTTGGATGGAGATCATTAAAGAATTTTTGGATTTTTTTCCTTTGTATTGTTTTATTTTTAAATTTCTTTTTGTGGTGCTGGGGATCAAACCCAGAGTCTCCTGCCTGCTAGGCAAATTTTCTACCACTGAACTACACCTCTGCCCCCTGTATTTTTAATTTCACAGTGATCCTTAGTATAATCAAAATATATTATTTGTTGTTCCTTTTTATTCCTGGTGGCCATATCACAAAAGGACCTGACTTAAAAGCCACTCAGTAATTTTATAGTATTTGGACACTAGATTTTGACATTGAAGTTGATAAGCTAATTTTTTTTTTTGCATTTTTATGCACACTATCAAGTTCATCTCCATGTTAGAGGAGAATTCAGGACAAGGCATTTTTGTTCTCCTCTCTTTGAAAGTATATTTTTTTTTTATCAGATACTTCACTTTTGAAGTGAAACACCAGTTAATGTCAATGAGCCTAATTTCCTTCTCAGATTCAAGGAGCAGAAACAGAATTCAGCTCCCTGGTGAAGCTGAACCATCCCAATGTCGTACGCTACCTGGCAATGAACTCCAGAGAGCAGGAAGACTCCATCATGGTGGACATTTTGGCAGAGCACATCAGTGGGGTCTCTCTCGCTGCACACCTGAACCACTCAGGTCCCATCCCCATGCACCAGCTCCGCAAGTACACGGCTCAGCTCCTGGCAGGCCTTGATTATTTGCATAGCAACTCTGTGGTGCACAAGGTCCTGAGTGCATCAAATGTCCTGGTGGATGCTGAGGGCACTGTCAAGATAACAGACTACAGCATCTCTAAGCGCCTGGCAGACATTTGCAAGGAGGATGTATTTGAGCAAACCCGAGTTCGTTTTAGTGACAGTGCCCTGCCTTATAAAACAGGGAAGAAAGGGGATGTATGGCGCCTGGGCCTTCTGCTGCTGTCCCTTAGCCAAGGACAGGAGTGTGCAGAGTATCCTGTGACCATCCCCAGTGACTTACCAGCCGACTTCCAAGATTTCCTGAAGAAGTGAGTATCATTGAGATTCTCCAAGTGCACCATAAGGGACTGAAAAGCTGCACAAGAGGAAGGAGACCAGGGTTAATTCTGTGCTGCCCCAGCCTTGCTTTCTCAAGCTCGTGGGTTCTGTTTCCTCACAATGGTTGTCACTCTAATACCTCTCACGTTCTCCTAAACTTATTTGGGCTTAGTAATTGATTTTCAAACTACTTTTGGGAGATTCCCTGGAATGGTGTGGCGAATATTCCCCACTCCTGTCTATCCCAGGAGGGCTGGCAGCAATGGGAAGGGCCCTCTGGGTGTCCAAATGGATGACCCTCTCCCTCTGCCTTTGCTTCTAAGTCTTAAGAGACTGAGAAGGCTTCTTTAGAAAACCACTTCAGAAGTGTGATTCTGCCCCATGTTCTTCCCAACCATTCTTTTTCATTGGCTCCCTCACTCAGCCAAGTCAGAAGGTACAAATAATCTGGCACTGTTTAGAATATATTTCTATAATTGTGAACCGTAGGTACACATTTCATTACAAAACAAACTTAAAATTGTGTGTGTGTGTGTGTGTGTGTACAAGCGTAAGAGCACATGTCCCAGAACATGCATGTAGAGTTCAGAGGACAGCTTTGTGGAGCTAGTTCTCATCTTCCACAATGGTTTCCAGGATCAAACTCAGGTTGTCGGGGTTGCCAGGCTTGTGGGGCAAATGCTTTTACTCAGTGCCTTCTCACTGACCTCAGAGCCAGTTTTTATTTAGCATGAGGGAATCCTTAGTAAAGAGGCTTTCCTTGGGCCTAAAGTCTTTGTCTACATCCTCCCCATCAGTGTTTCCTACTTCAGCCCTGAATCTTCTCAGTCTAAGCAGAGCTAAGGCAGCTCAGTTTCTGTAAGGAGATAAGATCCTCAGTTTGGCTTTTTCCAGATGCTCCCCTGGTCCAGCCTTCCTGCAGAAGCTGCTCTTAACTGCTTCTTCTCTCCCTCATGCTCATCCTTATAACTGTCCCAGTCAATTCATTTTTATTCACTTCATCTCCCCGTATTTGTTTTCTGGGTCCTTCACATTTCTTTCCCTGTTCCCATTGCCAGTAGCCAGTTATCTGATCCATAGTGTTATTTCTTATCACTCGTTAGCTCACTCTTCATCAATGTGTAACTGTCCTTGGACAATCCTGTGCCACATCTCCAAATTTCTGTCAGTGATGGACTTCGCAGGTGACAGTGGTCCTGTAAGATTGTATGAGTCATGCTCATTTATGTAGCACCCGCTGATAGTCACACAATGACAAAACTGCCAGATGATGTACTCTCAGAAATGTATCCCTGTCCTTAAGTACCACATGGCTTAACTGAGGTCGTTTCTGTGTACAACAGAACAGAAGTAGACACCAGAAATTACTCATTTGTGGAAAGGGACCAACTTTGATTCTGTATGCAGTATTTTCTCTTTAGGGTATATAAAAATCTTAAGATTTTTAAAGAAATCTCTTATTATTTCTGTTAAATGAAATAGAACTTTAAAATGTATACTTAAATGCACCCCCAAATGAGGCTGGCAAAAACGACAGGTAGGGTGATGAATTACTAGCAGAAAACTCTTATTTCAGTCTTTACCATGTCACCTTGAGCTTTCTGCCCTTTTTAACTCCTCAAGTGTTTAAATTTGATGAAAGGTGGCTTTGGTGTATCTCTTAAAATCAGTACAGGAGGTTTTTGCAAAATGTAATTTTTCACCTTTAGTAGCAAAATGATGGACTGAAGAGCTAAAACTTTCCTAGTCCTCCTCTCACAAAAATAGCTCCACATCATCAGTTTTGAACTTGAGATCTGCACTGTTCTTGCTCTGTTAACTTGTACTTTGGAACATTTTGTGTGCTCCTCTCTCCTGAGTGGGTTTTGATAGACTTCCTGGTTAGGGAGGACCTTCGGGATATTGGTTTATTACCTTTGTTGTCCAGCAGTTAAAAAAGAAAGCATATCATCCACAGGAGTGTGTGACATCCCATGTGTGGTTCTGTCGATTAGTTAACACCCTTGGGAGGTCAGCTATGCAGTAGGTAAGAGCTCAGATGCTGGAACTAGACAGCTGGGTCAGTCCCACCAGTGAGATCTTGGTGGCTGTAAATCTCCTTAAAGTACAGCTCATTCTCAGTAGGCTTATACTTTTTCTAATCCAGTTCTAGTGTCATGTCAGTGACATTAATGTCACAGTTGAGTTAGAGTTGATAGTATACCTCAGAAACCCAACACAGTATGTGCAGGGATGGTCATTGCTCTCTCTCTCTCTCTCTCTCTCTCTCTCTCTCTCTCTCTCTCTCTGTGTGTGTGTGTGTGTGTGTGTGTGTGTGTGTATAAAACTGGAAACAATCCCAATGGCAGGGAAATGTGTAAATAAAATCTGGCAGGTCCCTGGCTGTTTCCAGGGTTAAGTGAATTAACACCTGTCAAGCCCTGCTGCTGGCCCCCACTAAGTGAGTGCTAGAGCTGTCAGCACCACCCTCAGCAGGAAAAGCTGTAGAGAAATGTGGAAGCTCCAGGCCTGTCAGCCCTTCTGGTTCAAAGCTGGAGCCAGCATTTGCCTTTGCTACTGGTTGCTGCTATATTGCCAAAATGATTGATTCTGAGGATTCAATCCTTTCAAATGAGATCTTGGTGACTATAAATCTGAAAGTACAGATCATTTTCAGTAGGCTTTAGACCTTTTCTAGTCCAGATCTATTGTCATGTCAGTCACTTTAATGTCACAGTTGAATTAGAGTTGATAGTGCACTTCAGAAACCCAACACAGCATGTGTAGGGATGGTCATGGCAGTGTGTGCACGAACGTGTGTGTGTATATGTGTGTGTGTGTAAATAAAATTGGAAACAATTCCAACAGTAGTAGGTGTTCTGCCTTGTTTTTCTGTTGCTGTGATAAATACTATGAAAAAAATTAACTTGGGGAAGAATGGGTTTATTTGCCAACACCCAGGTCACAGTCTGTCACTGAGGGAAGTCAGGGCAGAAGCTCAGGCAGGAACTGAAGCAGAATACACAAACCATAGAGGAGCACTGCCTACTGGCTCCCTTGGCTAGTTTGCTTATACAATGCAGGCCTACCTGCCTAGGGATGGTGCCATCCCCGGTGTGCTGGGCCCTTGCATATCAATCATCAAGACAGTTCCATAGGCCAATCTGATCTGGGTAATTCTCCAGTTGAGACCCCTTAAAAATGACCATGGACCATGTCAAATTGGCTGCTGAGGCTAACTAGGACAGTAGGAGAATATATAAATCTGATAGGTCCTTGCCTATATAGAGTTTTAAAGAATCTTTATTGACTTAGAAAGATTGCTGAGACACATGACTGAACATAGTGAGACTCTGTTTCAGAAAGGAGAAAGACAAATAGACAAACATAATAAAATTCCTTATCATTTTGAATAGTATTTTAATATTTTCCAGAACTTTTTTGTTTTATTGATCTAATTGAAGTTAATTTTAAATTTAACAGAAAATATAATATCTTATTCAAATGACCTTATCAGAATATTTTCTTGCCCTTTTAATGTATAAGTTAATATTTTACCTTTTGGGACTGTGATATAAAATTATCTTTTATGATAGTCACTGTTGTTGCTTCATGTATGTAGGTTTATAAGTCTTGGATTCACAAGGACAGTTAATTCTTTATGTTATTTATAATTAGCGTCAAGTACAGGTCAGTGACCCTAGTTTAAGAACTCCTGATATGGCTTGTTTTGCTCACTTAACACAAAACAAAAATTTTTTGTTAGAGCATCAAATAGTAAGTTAGTTCATGAAATGAGAATTAAAAGGAAGTGTGTAATAAAATGTGGACTTCTAAATAGTATTGCCTAGTTGCTATCAGTTTATTTCAAGTTTCATCCGGAGCTTATCATTGGGCTCCAACCCTATATCAGGGATCTGATTTGCTTTGACTTTAGAAAACTTAATTGATGCCTGGTCCCTCGGAGGCTTAGTTTAGCATGGCAAGTTACTAAACTCTTAATGGAAGTGAAAATTCATAGCTGATTTATATTACCTGTGAGCATTTAAAATTGTCCCATGCCTCTACAGCAACTATATTTTTTTCTTTCATTCTCCACTTGCATCCAGCCTGCTGTGTGACAGTGTTTGTTTAAATTCATTTTAAGTGCATTTTGCTCTGTAAGTAACATGAATTCACTAATACATATTTTTTTAAAAAACCCATAGTTGAATGCCATGGATTAACTAGCATGGCATTTATTTTGTGTGTTGCTGATTCTCCCTCCCTCTTACTGAGGTGTGTTTGCCTGGATGACAAGGAAAGGTGGAACCCTCAGCAGTTGCTGAAACACAGCTTTATAAACCCTCAGCCCAAAATGCCTTTAGTGGAGCAAAGTCCTGAAGGTGAGTATGTTGTCTTCCTTTTCTTCTTTCTTCCCTCCCTCTCTCCCTCCTTCCTTCTTTTTCTTTCCTTCTTTCTTTCTTTACTTATTTTTTAATAGGGTCTTACTATGTAGCCCAGCTGAACCCTTGGGTCTTCCCGCCACAACCTCCTGAGTGCTAAGATTACAGGCATGCACCACCATACCTAACTACCATTCTTTTTCTTTTCTTTTCTTTTTTATTGAAAAGACACAGACCCCTGAAACTGGAAGAGTCTGCATGGATTATTTATTTTACCTATGCCACACTACACATAAATCCATTTATACACAGGCCTTGTATGCCTGGGACTGTTTAGCCACCCTAATTCTTCCAGTCTGTATTGAGGAGTGGACATCCTCTTCTTGTCCTGTCACCTGTATTGCCATGTAACTTCAGAGTGATTGGGATGGACCAGAAGGCCTAGGTTTGGGCTCTCTAGTTTAGTTACTTTCTCTCCATCCCAGTTACCCTCACATGTAAAATGGGTTAATTATATATTCCTGCTTACTTTAAAGTGGATGAGGTGAGGAAAGGTGTCAAAGGGTGGCTCAGGTTAGAGGTGTTTTCAGATCATTGACTGGTTGGGGCCTCTTCATCTCATGCTTACATACTTGTTGGGGTCTGTGATCTTTCTGCATTTTTCCTTTTTTTTTTTTTTTTTGAGACAGGGTCTCCCTGTAGCCCCAGCTGTCTTGGAACTCACTATGTGGACCAAGCTGGCCTTGAACTCACAGAGATTACCTGCCTCTGCCGCTGGTGGACTGGATCAAAGGTGTGTGCCACCACACCCTGTGTAAATTTCTTTTTCTTAAAAAAAGGAAAAATGAGGCTGGGCATGGTGGCGCATGCCTTTAATCCCAGTACTCAGGATGCAGAGGCAGGTGGATCTCTGTGAGTTCAAGGCCACTCTGATCTACACTGTGACTTCCAGGTGGGAGACCCTGTCCAAAAAAGAAAAGAAAATTTAATTTTATTCTTGTATGTGTGTATTTGTGGGGGGTGGGGGTGAGGGAGTGCCAGTTGGATTCCCTGGAGCTGGAGTTACAAGTGATTATGCTCTGACAAGAATTCTGGGAACCAAAGTCAGGTCCTCTACAGGAGCAGTATACACTCTTTTTTTTGGGGGGGGGTCTCCCTGTAGCCCCAGCTATCCTGGAACTCACTTTGTAGACCAGGCTGGCCTTGAACTCGCAGAGATCCGCCTGCCTCTGCCTCCCAAGTGCTGGGATTAATTAAAGGCACGTGCCACCACACCTCTCCCCAGCATACATTCTTAATCGCTAAGCCATCTCTCCAGCCTGATCTTCCAGGATTTCTAATGCCTTTGTTTCATCTCAGATTCTGGGGGACAAGATTACATTGAGACTGTCATTCCCAGCAACCAGCTACCCAGTGCTGCGTTCTTCAGCGAGACACAGAGACAGTTTTCCCGATACTTCATTGAGTTTGAAGAATTACAGCTTCTCGGCAAAGGAGCTTTTGGAGCAGTCATCAAGGTGTGGTGGAGCTGTCCCCAAGTCCTTGTACAACTCCTTCTCATCTGTTCCCACAGTCTTGATTTCTATTTTCAGAGTAGAAAGAGAAGTGAATAGGACTCTTAGGCTGTCATCACCTTCACCTTCCTGGAGTTAAAGACTTTATTTACAGCTACCCTGGACACATTAAGAATGCATCATTCTGTGTCCTTGCTTGGCACTGGGCAGTATGTGAAAACACACATGACTATGGCTGTCTGAGTGGAGTCAGGACCTCAGCATAAGAACATTTTTGTATGCTTTGATTCAGAAAGAAAATTGTCCTCTTTTTCTCCCATTTGCTACTAGAGTTGCCATAGAGAAAAGGTTCCAAAGTTAGGACAGAGATGGAATTCATACTGGGAGATGGCCCCAAAGGTCTTACTGACTCTTTTTTCCAGCTCTTTTGGAAAAGGAAAAATTGTGATATGTTTTTAAGGTATGCTGTTGTTAAAACTCCCTCTCTCCATTGAGGTCTATTTGGGTGAATTTTATTATGTGTCCCTTGTAGAAAGAGATTTCTACTGTTCTTATACAATTTAAGTATATTTTTTAAACCTTAGGAAACTCAGATATATCTGAGATACATGTCATCTTTTGCATATCAAGATGACCTATATTGGGGGGCATGTGTGTTTTGGGGATTCTGAAGACTGTTACAAGGAAGCAAAACTATTACTGGTTGATTTTGTTTGGGTTTGGGGGGATTTTTTGTTGGTTTGGGGTTATTGTTTTGTTTTGCTTTGTTTTGAGGCACAGTCTCATGGAACCTAGGCTAGCTCTAATTTACTCTGTAGCTGAGGATGACCTTGAATGCCTCATCTTACCTCTACCTCCCAAGTGCTAGAATTACAGACCTTTCCCACCATGTCTGGTTCATGCAGTGCTAGAGATCCAGCTCAGAAGTTTGTGCATACTAACCAAGCCCTCTACCAACTGAGCTACATCCCCAGCAGGTTTTTGAGATAGTCTTAAGTAGCCCTTGCTGGCCTCAAACTCTGTCTAGCCAAAGACACCCTTGAACTCCTACAGAAATTCATCACCATGCCCAGCTTGGAAGCATCACTCTTATTGTAGGCCTCTTTACCCAAACAAGATTTCTCAGTAAAAGAGGGGCAGTCTTGAGCAAGGCAGGGATTCTGTCAGAAAGACCATAGTTCTTAGAAGATTGTAGCTCACAGTATCACTTGATCAAGTCCTTAAGTGTCTTTAAATTTTGGATTCTTGAATTTATAACATTGACAAACTTCATTTCTGTAGTTTATTTTGGCAGGGTCTTACGTGGCCTCATTTCTTCACAAGGACTTAAAAATGAAGCTCAATGAAAAGAGCATCTTCATACTTTTAGCACCATGTGTCTCCTGTGCTTTCTCCACATGAAGACCCCTAGCCCTCACACCCTACTGCGCATCGCCATCTCAGTAGTGAAGTCAGCTTCACTAGCATGTGCTTTTGTCACTCTTTGCACACAAAAAGGTCATCTGGGGCTAAAATTTTACAGCAATACCTTCATATTCCTAGGAATATGTCAGTCAATAAAGTGCTTTCTATGCAAGCATCAGGACCTGAGTTTGATCCCCAGGGTTTTTTAAAACCAAACATGGTAGTGCTTGTTTATAACTCCAGGAGGATCCCTGGGGCTCACTGGCCAGCTAACTTACCTTTGTTGAACTCAGGCCAGTGAGAGAGACCTTATCACAAACCAAGTGGACAGCTCCTGAAAAACAACACTGAGGTGGTCCTCAGGCTTCCATAGGCATGCACATGCATGCATATCTACATACATGCACACATGCACGCGCATGAACCCACATACTGTCCTAGTTTCTGTTGCTGTGATAAAATACTCTGACATTAGCAACTTAACAGGGAAAAGGTTTATTTCAATCCACAACTCTAAGGTAATCCACAACGCTATGGTAATTTTCATTAAAATTAATTAATGAAATGCATTACTTTGTATGCTAATCCAAATTTTTTTTCTTTCATACTGAGATTTTATTGGTCGAGGACCAGTACACAGACATTTCAATTCGTACACAATTAAGAATTGTACCAAAAGTCTAAAGAACCACGTATTGTGTTTCTTTTGTAAAAGTCATTTCAGTGATGTTCCAGCTTCAAACCTGGTGACACATTTCCCTTCAGGGGACTCATTAACAGCATCATCAAATGCTGACCAACAATCCTTACTTCCACTGAAATTTATTATCGCATACACTAGACACTCAAATTTTCATCTTTCACAGCACAGTATCAAAACCGTTAGGAAAACTGGACCACCATGACCAGATGTTACAGAGGGCACACAGTTCTGACAGGGTGAAGACGTGATGACCAAGGAGTGTTTTTGTTTTTTTTTTTTAGAAAACAGTTTACTAAAAACACAGGACTAGAAGTCATCTAAAATATTCAAGACACATTAAATGCACAACTGAGACTCCAAATTGCCATTTAGTATGCTCTGGGTCACAGGATATAAAACTAACCCCCTCTATGGAATGTTACACCAACACCCAAGACAGTCACAGCCTCCCATGATTCAATATCCCACTATTTTCTGGTTGTACCAAAAAATAAACAACCAGTGAATGATTTCACCTCTTAAAAAAAAATCATTTACACTTAAAAACTGGGATGAGGTCAGATTTTCCCCTTTCAAAAATGTTTCTAGAGCTACTGAAAAACTTGCATTTACAAAATAGCTGATAAAAATAATCCTCTGGATTGTACAAGAAGGGTGATGGGGAAACTGGCGGACAGGATGCGGATCAGCGGGACTTGGCTTCTTTCTCTTCTCCTTCAGAGGTGGGACTCCCCTTGTTGCCCGTCTCTCGGTTTTCGGCAGGCAGGTCTTTAGTCTCCCAGTTGGCTACTTCTGTCTGCTTTCCCTTTGCTCCCCTTTTTCCTTTTGTCGGCACTTTTTTGTCCGAAGATTTATCCTTTCCCGAGGCCTTTTTTGGCAGCAGCAAGTTTGGCCTCACAGATCTGCGCTTGGGCTCCTCCTTGCCCACAGCCTCAGAGCTGACCTTCCTCTTGGGCATCGTGGTGGCCACGGGCGCGTGGGAAGCGAAGGGCCGTCACCTAGCTGTGATGCCTGGCCGCTGCTCCTCTTTTTTTTGTCTTTTTAAGACAGAGTCTGCCTGTAGCCCCAGCGGGCCAGGCTGGCTTTGCACTCACAGAGATACACATGCCTCAGCTTCCCGAGTGCTGGGATCAAGGGCAGGCACCACCACGCCCTGCTGCTAATCCAAATTTTTTAAAGAAAAGGAAAAATAAATGTTTCATTTATCAATAAAGGAAAAAATAATAATAAAGATGTGGTGGTTTGTGCTTGTAATCCCAGCACTCAAGAGATAGAGGCAGGAGGGTACAGAAGTTAAGGTTAGTCTTAATCTATATAGGGAGTTGGGTGGCAGCTGGGTTAAGTGCCAGTTTGTACAGGTTTCTGGGCCGCTGACCTTACCAGGTTCTTTTTCTGCTTGGCAGGTGCAGAACAAGCTGGACGGTTGTTGTTATGCTGTGAAGCGCATCCCCATCAACCCAGCCAGCAGGCACTTCCGCAGGATCAAGGGTGAGGTGACACTGCTGTCACGCCTGCACCATGAGAACATCGTACGCTACTACAACGCCTGGATTGAGCGGCATGAGCGGCCTGCTGTACCAGGGACGCCACCCCCAGATTCAACACCCCTGGCCCTGGACAGCCGAGCTGCCTGTGGGCATGCAGCAGGCGACACAGAGGAGCTGGGCAGCGTGGAGGCAGCAGCACCACCACCCATCCTTAGCAGCTCGGTGGAGTGGAGCACGTCTGCAGAGCGCTCCTCCAGTGCCCGCTTCCCAGTGGCTGGCCAGGGCTCCAGCAGCGACGAGGATGATGACGAGGATGATCATGATGGAGTCTTCTCCCAGTCCTTTCTGTAAGCCTGCTTGGGAACCACAGGCAGCAGTCCTTAATCTCCCCACAGCTACACCAGGGGAACTCATTTAGAAAGCCACAGTGTTGATCTGTTAAGAAAGAAAGGAACTCATTAAAAACCCTCTTGTAGAAATAGCCAAACGCAGCCCAAAGGGGATTTTTTTACACTGTCTTCAGAAGATTTCAGTAAGCAGGCCTAGAAGAAAGCAAAAGCAATTACTTTCAATACTTTACCTTAGTACATTTAAGAGAAGTTATAACAGGCCATCCCTTTAGATAAGAGCTTCCAATTCTGGACCATTTAAGAACTACAACTTTGGGGTCTTGAGTTAGCACTAACCACAGCTTCCCCAGAAGACACCAAGCTCATAATTATGACCCTGAAATATCAATAAATACCATGTTATAATCTGCCCTAAGTGGGGCTGGAGAGATGGCCTAGTGGTTAAGAGTACTGGCTGCTCTTGCAGAGAATATTCAAGTTCCAGTCCTAGCACCCACATGGCAGCTAACAACCATCTGTAACTACAGTTCCTGGGGATCATACACACCCTCTTCTGGCCTCTGCAGGCATTGCATGCACAGGTACACTTATATAAAAGCAAGCAGAACATTCATACACATAAAAATAAAGAAAATAATTTAAAAATAATCTGCCCTGGGCATTTGCCTTCAGTGTTCTCATTGCATTCAGTTGGATACAGTTTCTCATAACTCATCAATTATGTTAGTTTGGGAAACAATCTGGCTCCTTTTTAAGTGTCCTATGTTTTGCACAACAGGAAAGTAAAACACAGCACATAGTGTGCACAGATTGATATTGCTGGGTGCTGGGTGATGAAGCTAGCTTCTTTGGCTTTCTGGTAAATGAGTTTATCTATTTCTCTTTAAGGGCTGCTTCAGATTCTGACAGTGACATCATCTTTGACAATGAAGATGAAAACAGTAAAAGTCAGAATCAGGTAAATACATAATGAAAGTTACCTCACTTTACTCAGAGCATGGTATGTAAGGAAATATCTGATACCATAAACATCAGGCAGGTTATCAGAGCCTTAATTTGACATGCAAAAATTAATTTTAAAACAAGATCAGTTATTTAAAATATGTGCCTTTATTACTTCACATCATAAAGCATACTGACTTAGAGAAGTAAATTGAGAGCCTGCACTTTTGTGTGTGTGAGATGAAGTTTTATAGAGGATTTGGGGGAATTTTCTATGGATAGGGATGAGGGTTAAATACAATTAAACAGTCTCATCACGGAGTTAGCTTGATCTCTCACACATCATTTAATCTTGATTCCTTGTTTTCATAAGCCAACCTCTAGAACAGTGGTTTTTTGGGGGGGCGGAGGGAGGTTCTTTTTGTGACAGGGTCTCCCTGTAGCCCAGCTAGGCTGGCACTCACTATGCAAACCAGGCTGGCGTCGATCTCACAGAAATCCACCTTCCTCTGCCTCCCAAGTGCTGGGATTACATGATACCCAGCCTAGAACAGTGATGTATGTGTAATCTATAATGTTTTATGAGTTAATTTAGAGAGTTGCATCCAGCCTTTTACTTCTGATGCTGTAGACAGAAGTAGAGAATACAGATTGCACCTCACTTTTAGTAAAACTGAACTTTGTTAGTAGAATTTGTCTCTTGTGTATGTGTCTACTAGGTAGGATATAAAATGTACTTCTCGTGGCTGGTGGTTTAAAAACTCCACAAACACTGATGCAGACCCCATGCACCTCTTCCTCTTGCTCTGACCAGGCTATAGAGCCCCAGGCTGGTGCCTGGAGCTCAGAGAGTGTGGGCTGCTGAGGCTATCCATTGCTACTTGAGAGAAATAAACCATCTGACTAGGGGTGGCCTGTGATAACTTTTATTACTGGGAATAAAAACGTAATCACCAGCTTTTATAAGGGTTCATTCACAGGAGATGTGGACCCTGCTAGATATGTAATTCAATTGATTTGAAGATTTGAAGGATTAGCCAGTGTTTTGTTTGTTTTAGTTTGTCTTGTTTTTTGAGGCAGGATCTCCCTATAGCCTCAGCCAGCCTAGAACTCGGTAAACCAGGATGGCCTTGCTCTCACAGAGATTTGCCTGCCTCTGCCTCCATGTGCTAGAATTAAAGGTATGTGACACCACACCCAGTTCAGTGTATTTTATAAATTAAAGTCACTTTAAACTCCTCTTGATTTAATATTTAATTATAAATTTATCCAGAATAGTAGCATAAATAAGCTAAACTGCTAAAGCAAAAGCTATGTTTGGTTTTAGTATTAGCTGTGCATTTCATTATTATGGGGGCATCAGATGTATGCTCTCAGTTTGGCTCAGTTAAAGACAGTACCTCATGGACACTCTCAATGATGGGTAGAAATTTCAGGAGGTTAATAATCCTCACAAATAATCTCCAGAGAATATAAATGATTCAGTAGTCGAACCCAGTTGTTTAAAGAGCAGAGCTTTTTATTTTTATGTTATTAAGGAAAAATATTGACAAATCCTTCCTCATAAAAACTGCAAATCAAGCTGGAGGCAGAAGCAGGTGAGCCTGTGTGAGATCAAAACCAGCCTGGTCTACATAGCAAGTCCCAGGTCATCTGGGGCTACTTGGGAGACCCTGTCTCAAAAAAACACAGTAAAAACCCTCCTGCAAGTTAGAAATGGTTAGATGCTAATTAATGCTTTTTCCCTACTTGAAGTTAAAAACATTCAAATACATCTATCAAGAGAAACGAGTTTTTTAAAGGTGCCATGTGTTAGAAAAAAAATTGGCTGCAGGGAATAAGTTAGCTATGTGAAGAAGTGGGTGTAGATCACATGCCTCTTTAAGTGGCAACTAAGGGCTTGATCTTTAAGGGAACAGCAAAGAGGGCAGTGTACCCTTTGACAGAATGAGCACATTAAAACTGCTCTCACTAAATCCCACTGAAGGAAGACATCCCATAAACACTGACCCTACTGTTCTTACATATAGGCCATCAACTGTAAGACCCAACAAGGAGTCTTTCTGTTCCTTATGTACCTTTAATATCTACCTGCTTCCTGTTTCCCCTGTTGTTCTGTATAGTAACAGATCTGTAAGCTATACAGAAGCTTCTGGTTAGAGCAGACTTGCCTTAAAATTCCTGCGAACTTATAAAGGACAGTGGTTGTGTTCTGTTCAGCTGACCTCCCCTAAGTCAATAGGATGGCCGTGCACAGGGATTGGGGAAGGGGCACAAGTTCTTGAAGATGGTAATGCTCTTGTTTAATTTCAGTCCCCAGTTTGAGTTCTCATGTGTTCCTCCTGTCTTAGGGTGAAGATTGCAGTGAAAAAGAGAGCGGCCATAAGAGCGAGCCGTCAGTGACCACTGAGGCTGTGCACTACCTGTATATCCAGGTGAGGTCCTGGAGTGTAGCTTGGTGATGTGGTACCTCACAGTGTTCGTTGATGGGCATGTTCCAAGATATATCCACAAGATAACAGGCAGAAAACGGCTAGCCAGCATTGCTAAAGATTAATTGCCCAGAGAGGTTACAGCATGGAGGCCTTTTCCCCCCAGCCTTGAACTCATCCTTTCTCAACGTGCATCAGGAGGTACCTGCTGTACAGGTGCTCTGAGTTCAGGCTGTGCAAATTCATATCCCAGATCTGACGCCACCCTGTGAGCACAGATGAGATTCTTCAGTTTTTTGTGCCTCAGTTTCCCACAAATTAAATATCTGATAGACTTGTAGCAACTAACTAAGATGAAGTGTATGAAATGCTTATAACTGTCTAAATCCCATAAATGCTAGACTGGGGATGTCTTCCACTTTGTTGAACAACCAGATCTGAAAAGCAAAGTATGATGTGCATACTCATGCATGCAAAAGAAACCAGTGTGACTTTAAGCACAGTGGCTGATCTGGGAACTTCAGAAACCAAGAGAGCCACAGGCACATCAGTTCCAATAAGTCATCACTGGAAAGAAGTTCAGGCTTTTTGACCTGCTTCTGTGCCTGAGCAGTAAGTAGCCTGCCAGGCAGCCTTGGGCCCTGTCAGCAGAGGGACAGCTGTATACCAAAGAAAAGGTATTTCCTGTACCCTGGTGAATAGGACCATGAGGCAGGTTTTTCAAGTACTGTGCAGAAAAGGAACCCTCTGTCAAGTCAGAATATTTCAGGAGCCAGCTTAGGTGATTGCCTTTCTGGGTCAGGGACCAGTTTCAGCTGTTTCCTATCATAAATACATTTGAGGTACCACTTACACAGATTCAAGCATTTTGTTACTTCATTACTACTATCTGCCTGTGTCCTTTCTTTTAAACAATCTTAGTGAAGTGGCTCCATATGGGAGGAATAGGAAGTGTGGGTAGGACTCACAGGGTTTGGGGAGGCCCTGGCTGAGGCCTGGAAGATGACTCAGAATGTGCCAGCAGTAATTCCGAGGAGAGTAAATCCTCTTTAAAAACAGTACCACTCTTCTGCATGAGAAATTTCCACCCTGGCACCCAGGGTTTCATCATTCAGATACTCCCTGTTAACCTCAGGTTTAAATGATGCTACATTGTTTGCTGGTCTATTAATAGACCCAAGAAGGGGTGAGATGGAGCTCTGGCTTGAATGCTTTCATGGGTATAATGCTGTGCTCTCAAAGGCCATTTGTCTTTAATGTACAAATAAAGCTAATGACATCATTAGGTTAATTAGCCTCCTTAGAAAGTTGAGACTGGGAGCAACCTTGTAAAATAATATCATTTTATTATAATCTTAATTTTCATATTTGTGACAAGGATTTTAAACAAATGAGACCTTTTAAAAATAAGCAGTTATATTAAGAAAATAAAAATAAGGCTGGGTATGGTGGTACATGCCTTTAATCCTAGCACTCACGCAGGAAAGGCAGGCGAATCTCTGTGAGATTGAGGCCAGCCTGGTCTACATAGTGAGTTCCAGGCCATCTGGGGCTACAGGAAGACACTGCCTCAAAAATACCCCACCCAAAAAAGCAGGAATCAAAAGTCAAACAGACATAAGGATTAAGCGATGTGATGGAATTTTCTCTTTTAAGGGCAACTGAAAAGCATATAAGAAAAACACCACTTTTAAAGACCTGAAGAAAAAGGGCAACAGGGTTGTGTAAAAAACCTAACTAACTAACTAAATAAATAAACAAACAAATAAGGTAGAGGGTATAGCTTAGCAGTAGAACGGTTGTGTAAAAAACCTAACTAACTAACTAAATAAATAAACAAACAAATAAGGTAGAGGGTATAGCTTAGCAGTAGAACAGTTGTGTAGCATGCAAGAGAGCTTGGGTTCAATCCCTTTGGGGACAAAAGAGTTTGAGGGGTAGTATTTTGGGTGCTGGGAATTGACCCCAGAGCTTCATGCATGCTTGAATGTCTCTCTGCCACTGGACTGCATCCCCATTCCTCAAGGTATTTACTCTCGGGTTTGTTTTGTTTTGCTGTGTGAAAAATACAATTCTTTCCGTAACTGTTTAAAAATCCTTATTCCAAGTTTTAACATGAATGATAACATTGATTGCAATTATTTTGAACTTTTGGTATAATCATGCCCTGCCTGATTTGTTCTCATTTGTAGATGGAGTACTGTGAAAAGAGCACTTTACGTGACACCATTGACCAGGGACTGTTTCGAGACACTGTCAGGCTCTGGAGGCTTTTTCGAGAGATTCTGGATGGATTATCTTATATCCATGAGAAAGTAATCTTTGTAATATTTCATGTCTAGATATGTATATTTACATAAATTATGTGCGTATGCTTGTTTGTGCACAGATATATTTGGGGCTATACTTGCCCATGCACATACACGTAGAGGTCAAAGGTCAACGCTAGCCTCTGTTGGTCTCCATCTTATTTTTGAAGACAAGGTCTTTCACTGAATCTGGAGTTCATCATTTCAACTAGACTGGCCAGAAAGCTCTCAGGATCCACCTGTCCCTGCCACCCTCCTCTAGCACTAAGGTTACAGGTGCATGCCACTGCACCCATCTTTTATATGGGTGCTGAGGATTTCAACTCAGGTCCTCATGCTTACACAGGAAATACTTTACCTACTGACCCATCTCCCAAGCTTCTATTTATGTACATTACTATAAAAAACTAAATAGGAGAATGGAGAACAAACAAAGCAGGGAGAAAACTATATAAATCTTGAAAAAAATAAAAATGAGATTGTTTAATGCATCAGCCAGTGAAAAGATGTTAGCTTTTTTCTTTGTCTCAATTTTCTTGAACATCAGAATGTTTATACTATGCCATGTTTACACTGAGAAGCCAAAGCTATAATTTACATAACTGATTTAGAAATTATTGTTTAGAAGCATAATTTGTAGGGTGGAAAATAAACAGGAATTCTAATGAGCTCCATTAGAAGTTTGACTGTGGTGCTGTCCTAGGGGCCTGGGACCTGCTCTGTGTACTCCCCTCCTCTCCAGCTCATTTGCTCAGTATCTACAGACCATTTGCTGGGCCTCTGTCACCTGCATAGGCAGCCTCACCTACAAGGCAACTACATGCTTGAGAGGGACGTCTTGTCCTTAGAAAGAACCAGAATTTGCCTTCATATAGTGGTGAAAGATTGGACAAGGAAGAATCTGTATTATATTTAGTATCTTCTAGCAATAAGCAGGATGAGCCCTTAGGAAATGGAGAAAGTAGGGCTTGCCCCTACTAGATATGGGAGGTCCAAACTTGAATTGGTAGAATTATGTGCAAAACTCATGAAAGGGGTGGTACTTGTAAATGTTGGTGTGATTTGAATGAGTGGAAAAATGAGAGTATCCTGGATGGAGAAGCAGTGCAAAGAAAGGAACAGAGAGAAAATGAAAGCACCTTCTGGCTGGAGTGGTGTTTTGTGGTACAGCAGAGAAAGAGGCAGCGTGAAGTTGGTGGATGGGGCTGTGGAGGCCATGAGGAGGAGCCCTTGGATTGCCCCTGCTCAAGACCACTGGGTGATATGGGAGATGCTGGAGAGGTAGTAGCAGGGAACATTCCAGAGACCAGACACCTGGACCAGATGATCAGCCAGAAAAGATCTTATCCTGTTGTCATCATACGGTTGGCCTTTCAAATCAGGAAGCAGGTAAAATTTTCACTCAGCCCTACATGGGAAGCAATTGTCTATCTCTTTGTTCTCTTCCAATAGGGAATGATTCACCGGGATTTGAAGCCTGTCAACATCTTTTTGGATTCTGATGACCATGTGAAAATAGGTGATTTTGGTTTGGCAACAGACCATCTAGCCTTCACTGTGAGTATTTTTAAAATCAGGCTATGCTTGAAAATGGCCTGGTTGCCTTAGTTCTGGAAGTAAGGAGACAGTAGAGGGCCTCCTGAGCCCTGCTGTGGTTACCCTCCAGGAGGGAGGGGAGTCTGAAGGGGCATGCTGTAAGTGACCTCTTGGGTTTTGAAGTTAAGGGACATGAAGTTAATTGGTTTATGAACAATATTTAGGCCAAAGGCATAAAATACTTTATGAAATAATTTGGCATTTTGGTCTCTCATGCAAGGCACTTGGCAAGATGTTTTACACTTGAGAAGCCTTTAGTTAGTTTTCAGAAATGAGGCTCAAAAACAAACCCTGGGGCTGAAATGATAGCTCAGTGGTTAAGAGCACTGGCTGCTCTTACAGAGGACCTGAGTTTGATTCCTAGCACCCATATAGTGGCTAACAGTTGTCTGTAACAATTGTCCCGGACAACACGTAGTTCAGGTATCTGTTCAAACCTCATGGTGTTGTTATTGGTATTTGGAAGTTATACAATGAAAATAAAGAGAAGAAGCTTGGAGTCCCACTAAACCCGTGGCAGCCTTATCACTGCTCTGTGCCATGACCTTAGGCAAATGTGTGAACCTGTGGCTCCTCATGTCTCAAAGACTTGTCAGCAAAGTAGAACCAGAAGGCAAATGAAGGCGCCTGAAGAGTGGTAGTGCAAACCTCTGGATGACTTCATCACTATCTTGGTTTAGGCTGTAGCATGGGGTATGACTATTAGAGGTGTGGAGAGGTGATGCTACTCAGCGATTGTGAACAGCAAGTGACAATGGGGCCAATTTGGTGACCAACCTCTAGGAAAAAAAATAGCAAAAACTAACCTTGAAAAAATAGTAGCACTGGAAAAGTTAGAAGGAAGATTTTGTTACTGTTGTTAATACTCTTTTTAAAATACTCTTTTTTAATACAGTTAGCCTTCCTGATAAGTAGATTCTGTTCTTGGTGTTTACAGTGTGAACAGAAATTGGTTCCTAAAACATTCTGGGTATTTTGACCTGAAGAGAGCTGTCTAGTGAATTGCTCTTCGTCCTCATTAGTTTTCATTGAGTTTCCTTTGAGCATAAATGGGTTAGCTAAATATAAAAAATAAGTAAATAAGCCGGGCGTGGTGGTGCACACCATTAATCCCAGCACTCGGAGGCAGAGGCAGGTGGAGCTCTGAGTTCAAGGCCAGCCTGGTCTACATATGAGTTACAGGCCAGCTGGGGCTACAGGGAGACCCTGTTTTGAAAAAAACAACAACAACAAAAAGCAAATAAACTCACAAAAGCCATGTGTAACCTACTCTTATGTCCACGTTAGCTTTTCAATCTTCATTTAGAAAGGTATGCACCACTGCTATGGAATGCTATCATGCATTTATCTATTTTTTAATTCACTTGTGTTTTTAGGCTGATGGCAAACAGGATGAGCAGGCAGGAGATCACGTGATTAAGTCAGACCCTTCAGGTAAATCCAGAAGACTCTATTTCATTGATGTGTTTAAAAGCAAGCCACAGAACTTCTTAACCTGAAACCTGCCTTTTACTTATAAATGATTTATTCAAAATCAAATTGAAATTATTCATTAGCACATTATAAAACTCTTTTGAATTTTTTTTTTTTCCTTTCTCACTGTTCTTCAGAAATATAAGAGCTTTGGTTAGAAAAATAATGGGTTCCTGGGCGCCCAAAGCTCTACTTTGACCAGCTCAAGTGGTTCTGTATGGTTACCTTAGGACCTGGCCCAACTAAGATCCTATCTGGTCCTGGTCTTACTGCGTAACAGCAGAGACAGCTCTTTATGGGGCTGTCTAGGACTTAGATTAGTTTGTATACTGTTGACTTTCCTTCCCTGTGAGCACTGCAGATGGCTAACAGATTAGGCCTTACTTTTAAGAAGCTCTTTTGTTTTGGGCCAGGAGATAGCTCAAGGGGTAAAGACACTTGCCACCAAAACTGATAACCTTAGTCTAATCTCTGGAATTCACATGATAGAAGAAGACAACCAACTCCTACAAGTTGTTTTTGAACCTCCACATGTGTTCAGTGGCACCCAGCACATCCACACACACATAAATGAGTGTAAAGAGAAATTTTTAATTTGCCTTATGTAGCCTGGGGTGTATAGCTCAATGCCACTTGCCTGGGTTCGATCTCTTAGCACTGAAAAACAATACTACCAATAATAACAATTTGCCTTATCTGTAGTCCCATTGCTGAACTGGTCTTCCTGTTTTCCTCCACACAGGCCGCTTGACTGGCATGGTTGGCACTGCTCTGTATGTAAGCCCTGAGGTCCAAGGAAGCACCAAGTCTGCATATAACCAGGTACAGAGTTTTAGGGGGACCAGCTGAAGAGCAAATCATTAGTAAGAGCATCAAGATCGTAGCACTCAGGGTTTAGTTATAGCTGAAATGGTAAGGAACAGTTGCTGATTCCCATTCCAGGCAGGGCACGAGGCACCCGAGGGCCAGAACTGAAGTTGTTATGGTTGTTGCAGGAGTTTTCAGTCCTTCTATCCATCCAAAGTCTGTGAGCTAACCCCTGTGCAATTCCCCTATCCAGGTCAGGAATACGTGGGGCAAGACAGACACAGGAGTAAGACACCGGGGCCCCAGCACTCAGGGAGCTGACCCACTGATGGATGAACAGATAGTCAGCAAGGAAGAAGTAACAGAAATCATCCTAAATTGTGATGAGGGCTATAAAGAAAAGAAATGAAGGCTGGAGAGATGACTCAGGTGGTTGAGAGCACTGACAGCTCTTCCAGAGGACCCGGGTTCAATTCCCAGCACCTACATGGCAACTAGCAGCTGTCCATAACTCCAGTTCCAGGGGATCCAATGGGCATTGCATGACACATAAACACATGCAGCCAATATACTCATAAACAAAAAAACAATAAAAATATTTTTTAAAAAAGAAATGAGTCATGTAGGAAGGCAGTAGTTAGGGGCCCCTTGAAGGTCATTCAGACTTGCCTTTTTTGATCAGTGCTGGGGATCCAAAACAAGAACCTTATACATTCTAGGCAAGTACTAGTGCTCTACCATTGACATATAGCCCTAAACCCTTAAGAGGAAGACATTTAGATGAAAAAAGACAAACCAGGGCTGGAGATGTGGCTCGGTTAGTAGGATACTTGCCTGACATGTGTAAGGCCCTGGGTGTTATCAGTAGCAGTGAAAAAATAATGGATGAGGGACAAACCAGGCACAGTTAGAAGCAGAGCATAGGGGCGGGTTGAAGCAGAGGAAGCCGCAAGCATAAAGAGAAAGCCCCAAGGGAGAGAGAGCTGGGCACTCAGAAAAAGGTCAGCACTGCAGCCTGGTGAGCAACGGGAAGAGAGGCATGTGGTGAACCTAAGTAGGAGGCAGGCATCAGGTCACTCAGGGCAGGGTAAACCAGGACAAGGAGTAGGAGTTTATTTGAAGTGCACAGAGCCACTGAAGAATCTCATGTGACAGAGTTTGTTTTGTAGAAATGCAGTGGCAGGTGGCTGGTGCTAAGGTGGTAGCTGGAGAAATAGGGAGAAGTGGAAGAGAAGGGTGTGGCGGTGAGTTTCCTGGTGTAGGGAAAGGGAAAGAAGGGAAAAGTTCAGACTGGGGTTTCTGCCTGGAGGGTAGATAATTGGGGTGTGGAAAGGTTGGGAAAGGCATAAGGAAGATGGAAAAGATGGCAGGGATAGCCAGTACTAGGTCTGTTGCTTTGAAATGCCTGATTCAGAATCTAATTGAGATATCTAGCCAATGGGTTGTTAGAAACCCAAGACAAGTTCAAAGAAGAGCTCAGAGTCAGAGGTATAAATCTGAGAGAGGACTGTACATGAAGGAGATTTAAAGCTGTGACACTGGATGAGATCACTTACAGCAAGAGTTACAGCTACATTTTTAAAAATGTATCAGGCAGTGAGCTCCAAAGCTGATGCCCGGGCTTGCAGGAAAAAACTCAAGCCTGTGTTTGCTCCTGACAGAGCAGGAGGCAGCAACATAGAGTTAGTTAGGAAGGAGAAGAGTGATTTCTCTCAACTTCTTCTTGAAAATTAATTATAACCAGTAAACACACACACTCACACCAGTGCAACACCTGACTGAAGACTAAATATCTAAAGAGCAAGGCCAGCTGAGACTTGTTATAAGACTTTGCTTTGGAATACGAATATAACTCTGTGATTGAGTGCTTGTCTGAAATGCCCAAGGTCCCGGGTTCAATCCCCAGCACTATAGTGAAAAAGGAAATAAAAAGGAACGAATCAATTTTCTTTGTTTTTCATCTTCAGTAATCATTTAAAAACTGAAATACAGTGGGACTGGAGAGATGGTTCAGTGGTTAAGATCACTGGCTATTCTTGAAGAAGACCCAGGTTCGATTCCCAGCACCCACATAGTGGCTAACAACTTTCCATAACCCCAGTTTCAGGGAGATCCAAAGCCCTCTTCTGTCCTCCAGAGGCACTGCAGATATGGGTGCACTTCACACATGCAGGCAATACACACATACACATTAAATAAATTAAATAAATAAATAAATAAATAATAAATTGTTTTAAAAAACTGAAGCACAGACAAAAACCTGTAGATGATAGCATAGGTCAGCTACTGCCTACAAAGCCATACTAGTGAGGACAGAAGAATGCCAACAGAGAGAGCATGTGACTAACCCTAGCAAAATATGGAAGTATAACTCAAGAAGAGAAGTAATTAAAACACAATTACAGAGCACAATAAAATATACTCAGTAAGAGGCTAATATGCAAAATACAGAAGTCCTAAAACTCAAAGCAGAAATTAAATAAAATTCAAACAAAAACCCAATCAAAAGTAGGCCAAGGATCCAGACAAAAAATTTCCCAACGAAGATATACAGATGGCCAACAGGTATATGAAGAGATGCTTCATATCACTAACCAGCAGAGACATGCAAATGAAAACCTCAGTGAGCTTTCACCCCATAATTGTTAGCTATTAGCACAAGGTGTAGAAAGGGAACCCTTGTGCACTGGTGATGGTAAGGTAGATTGGTACAGTGTGGAAAAAAGCATGGAGAATTCTCAGAAAATTAAAGCTGGGTGTGGTGGCACGCACCTCTTGTCCCAGTGCATGGGAGGCAGAGGCAAGAGAAGCAGAAGTTCAGAGTCACCCTTAGGTACATGAGACCTGTGTCAAAAACTGCAGTGTTACAATGCCACATTACAATTACCTGAATAAAACAGCCTGGCTCTTAGTTTTTAAGAGTGGGCCCAAACTCATAGGACATCTGTTCCCACACGTGTCTCTTGGAATTCTTGCTGGAATCATGCTGCTGGAACTATGCTCTGAAACTATGTCCTTGAGTCGGGCCTCACCCATATTTTATTCATTTGGGGCAGTACAAGCTTGAATCCACCCTTATGAGACAATCTGGTCTTTTCATCCCTAGTTCCAGAATATCTCATACACACAAAGTCAAGCATCCTTCTCAATCTTCATGTTTTCAGTGAAGATTGACACTCTGCCTTTCAGTGCTTTGATATGTTAATTCTCAAGCATACCCACATTCATTCATTATCTTTTTGGGTGGAGTAGCAAATTGAGGTTCCCAGGAAACAAGATCAGGTGCCCAGGTCACAAGAGCACATGGTTCAGTGAGTTTGTCCAGGTTAATTAAAAGCCATTAGTCCAGTTTATGTCTGTTTTATAAGTCATTCCTACAAAAAACAAAACCTTCCCCAAACAAAAGCCAACCAACCAACAAGAAACACACGGAAACCCAACTATAATTTAGATACTCCCAGCAACTCCACTTTGGGATGTATGCCCAAAGGAAAGACTGTGACTGTCTCAAGTCAGTATCTGCATGCCTACAATCTCTGCAGCATTCTTCCTGGTAGTCAAGGTATGAAATCAGTGTTATCAGTTGACTGATGAATGAATAAAGAAAATGTGTAACCATGTGCCTGGCATGTGGAAGGTGCCTACCATGTTCAAGGTCCTAGGTTCCATCCCCAGCATTGTGCAAACAAGGGAAAAAGAAATGTGGTGTATACAAACACATACAGAGAAATTATTAGCCTTTAAAAAGAAGCCAATCCTGCCATCTATGGTGACAGGGATGAGCCTGGAAAATGCTATGCTAAGTAAAATACTCCAGACAGTGAAAGGCAGATATCGCATAATCTCATTGAAGTGTGGAATCTACATAAAAGTCTGACTCAGCAACTGAGCATGGTGGTTTACTAGGGACTGGGTGGAGGAAAAGGGGGAAATGCTGGTCAGAAGGTACAAACTCAGTTACAAGATGAATAAATTCTGGAGCTGTAATGTACAGCATAGTGGGTACAGTTTATAGTAAAGTACTATATTCCTGAACATTGCTGAGAAACTAGCTCTCAGATGTTCTCACACACACTGAGTGGTAACTAGGCAGATAGACTTGTTAACTTGACTTTGGTGATCATTTTGCAGTGAAAATTTTAATAATTTGTTCTAAAAAGTTACCAATCTAAAGAGTTATTTTAGAACAAATCATAATGGCTTGTTTTGCACTTAGGTAAACTTTGTTCCAACTAACCATGCTGAACCTCAAGTTCCTGTAAATTATACTTCCTATCTGAGCTCTCTAAATGCAATTCTTTTTTTGCCACAGAAAGTAGATCTCTTCAGCCTGGGAATTATCTTCTTTGAGATGTCCTATCATCCCATGATGACAGCCTCAGAAAGAATCTTTGTTCTTAACCAACTTCGAGATGTAGGTATTAGATTTTTTTGATGCATAAATTTCCAGTATCTTCAGCCTCACATAGAGATCAGAATTTGAGGCAGGACTTTTTCCTGGTATTTATAATATATAAGAGGCTATCTATGGTAATTTTTTTTAATATTTATTATTTTTATTTTATGTGTATGCGTGTATTGCCTACATGTAGGTAAGTGCACCCGTGTCATTCAGTGCCCACGGAGGACAGAAGAGATTGTTGGATCCCCTGGAACTGGAGTTATGGACAGTTCTTAGCTGCCATGTGGGTGCTGGGATTCAAACCGGGTCTTCTGCAAGAACAGTGTTCTGACTGAGCTATCTCTCCAGCCCCCCTATGGTAATTTTTTTTTAACGATCTCAATCTATAGCTCAGGCCAGCCTGAAACATAAGCTCCTTCTGCCTCAGCCTTCTAAGTGCTGGGATTACAAGCTGTGTGACACCAAGCCTGGTTGCTTACTATAATCTTAATGACTCATTTGCTGACTTAAGCTAAGATAATAAATTCTAGGTGGAGAGATGGCTCAGCAGTTAAGAGCACTTGCTGCTCTTGCAGAAGACCCAAGTTTAAGTCCTAGCACCCACATTTTAGCTAACAACCATCCTTAATTCCAGTTCCAAGGGATCTGACATCCTCTTCTGGCCTCCTCAGGCATTGCACTCACGTGGCACACTTACATACGTAGAGGCAAAACACTAATACACATAAAATTTAAAATAAAAAATAAAACTTTAAGAGACACTCAGTTCTCCCATTTGCAGTGAAACATCTTCAAAACAAGGAAAGTTCCCTCATTTAAGTTGTTAATATAGTAGTTTGAATAGATAAGATTCTGACTATTGTTCTGTGTTCTGATAAATAAAAATCCACCTGTCAACCTGCTGAAGTGAAGAAAAGATTCATATTGAAGGGACCTGGTTTTGAAACACATAAACAAACCAAAATGACCAGAAGTTAAATGGGTCTGAGGGCTCAAGATGTGCCCCTGTGGCAGAGCACTTGCTTGCCTGGTATGCATGAGGCCCTGAGTTTGGTTTGCACACCACTAAAACACACATAAACACAGTGCCAACGTGGCTCTCAGAAATATCAGTCACTTAGAGACAAGCATAGTGGTCCCAGCATTTCCAAGGCAGAGACAAACAGATTTCTGTAAGATTGAGACCAGCCTGGTCTACATAGTGAGTTCCAGGTCAGCTAGGACTACAAAGTGACCCTGTCTCAAAAAGAACCAAAAAAATTATATAATGTCAGTCACTTGAGGTTTGGTTCCCCCCCTCCATGAAATTTCTACTTATTCTTGAGACTAACCCTTTCCTCTGTTACTCTCTGAGCTCATAGAGACTAGTGTTACAGGATGTGAGGTCAAGGGTACCCATGAGAAAAAGGCTTTAAAATGAAAGTAGAGAGTAAGATTTGGGTGGTTTAGACTCTGTTACACATGAGCAGCAGATATGGAAAGCCTTCCTCAGTCTTACAGAGCAGAGGCAAGCGGGTTTATTTGTTAAATTAAATAACATACACCAAGCCAGGCATAGTGGTGCAAGCTTATAATCCCAGCATCTGGTAAGCAGAAGTAGGAGGATCAAGCTCAAGGCCAGCTTGGGCTACATAGTAAGCTCCTGTCTGAAAAAAGAAAAAGAGAAAAAGAAAAAGAAAATAGTTAATAAGCAAATAATACTCTGTAAGTACTCCTGTAGGGATAGAGAAGTGGCTCAACAGTTAAGAGCACATACTGCTCTTGCAGAAAACCCAAGGACCTGGCCACCTGTAACTAGCTCCAGGAGGATCCAATGCCTCTGACTTCTGTGGGCACCTGCACTCACATAGTTATACCCTCACACAGGCACACATGCATACACAAAATTAAAAATAATAAAAATTAATATTAAAAAAAAACTCTTGTAGCGATTTTGGACCACAGTTGAATTACTTTCCTAACAGTAGCATGTGGGTAGGTTATGAAATATAGGTGGATGGGGTGATTGCTGTCATTTGCCTTATTAGAATACTCTTAGATGAGTCTGTCCTTTTTTTAAAAAAATCTGAAATTTATGCTTGTTCCTTCATTTCATGAATACTAAACTGTCAAGTCAATCTTGTAATTGAGGTCCAGTTTGCCAGAAAAGTGAGGATTGAGGGGGATTTTAGAACTAATTAAATTTGTTTGTTTGGCATGTTTTATTTTTTGAGATAGGAGCTAGTGTAGCCTCAGCTGGCCTCAGACTTGTTATGTAGCTGAGGATGACCTTGAACTTCTGAGCCTCCTGCCTCTACCTACTAAGTTTTTCTCTTAATTGATGTTGATAATTTGGTGAAATTGTAACCTTTTTTCACTATGTGGTTCATAAAACTACTTTGTGTTTCTGTGAAACCATTAAATTTTTAAGTAGTTTGTCCTCAGAGGAGGTGAAATCTGTAGGCAGTCATGTGGGTGATTGGTATTATTAGACTGTGTTGGAAGAGTGAGCCTAGGAGGTAAAGGTGTCTCTTCAATCTTTCTTTCTGTGTTAGCAAATTTTAATTTGCGCTTTGGTTTTCTTACTTGTGGTGAATAAAGCTTTGATTGTGGCAGCTGCCAAGCCCTTGCTGATTTGAGTTTTCTACTCTCTTAGCCCATATCACCCAAGTTTCCAGAAGACTTCGATGATGGAGAGCATACAAAGCAGGTAATTTTCTGTTGTGTTAACTGCAATGTCTTCAGTCTTGGATTTTTTTGTTTTGTTTTTTAGGTTTTTTTTGAGGCAGCGTTTCCCTGTGGCCCCAGCTGGCCTGGAACTCACTTTGTAGACCAGGCTGACCTTGAACTCACAGACATCTACCTCCTGTACCTCCCAAGTGCTGGGATTAAAGGCCTGTGCCACTGCACCTGGCTCAGTCTTGGGTTTTAATTACTGTTTTTCTTCTTTTTCAATTAGTAATCTTCTGCCATTCATTCTCTTGTGTTCTGGGAACAATGTAGGGGAAAATATCAAAAGATGAAGCTCTTAGAATGTTATTAGACTTGAAATATACTATAAAAAGGCCAAGGTCTGACAGGAAAAGTGAACAAACTACAGGGTGCTTTTGTTTATTTAATTATGCTTTTAAAGTGTCATTTGAACCATTGGCTAAGCTATTAGAAAAAAATGCTTTTACAGCTAATTGTGTTTTAGAAAAAAACTTAGGGCTTTAAGAAAAAAAATTAAGTTATATTCTTGTTCTGTTTTATGATTAAAGTAGTTCAGGTTACATTTGTGTGATTTTTTTCAGTTAGGGTAACATTTTCTAAATAGTCTGTTGTTACAGACTTTGGGGGGCATTTGCTTTACAGTACTGGGTATTGAACCCAAGCTCCCCACCTGCTAGGCAAGTGCTCTCCCACTGAGTTATATCTGCAACCACTGTTATAGTATTCTAAAGCAAGATAATTTCTCATACATACCATAACTGAGTGAGTGAGTGAGTGTGTGTGTGTGTGTGTGTGTGTGTGTGTGTGTGTGTGTGTGTGTGTAAAACTCATCTTGTAGGCTAATACTGGCACCCAGCTAACATGAAAGGACAGTTATTGGTGTTTACTATGGTGAAACCTTCATTCATTAATACTCAGGATATGGGAATTTGTTCCTTATACTGACTTTCATTGACAGTGATAGTCAAGGCAAAAGTCTCTTATTTAAAAAGTATCAGCTTTGAGAGCAGGAACATAAATAGAATGTTTCAATATTTGCAACTTCTTGTGGGCTACATGTCTGTGAGGACAGCCATTGTGCTCACTAAGACTTTTATTTCTCTCACCTATGAAATAAGAGACTAATAACATCTTTTATTTCTGTTGCATTAACATTCTGTGATTCAATGATGTTTGTTCAGTGTGACATTTATTTATGGCTAAAGGGGCCCATTCTACCATATCTATTTAGTTAATGAAGAGTCATCAGAAAACACTCTGAGTCATTTTTCTGCCAGTTTTGTTAGCTATTATTATTTGTTTGAATTTAGTAATTTGCTGTGTTTCTGGGTATCATAACTAAATGTTAACTTAAAATCTTTCCCTATAGTGTAGTCAGTCTTAGCATTTTCCACACAATGACATGATGGTGACCCAGGAACTTTATTCAGCTATAAACATGAGAGAAGCCATGCAAGACATTTCTTCTTATGAGGATTGTTTTCCTATTACCAAATGTGTATTAAACACCATCAGCATTAGAGTTTGAGCTTGTGAAACTGACCCCAGAACAACAGACGCTGCTAACATAACTCAGTGGGTAGAGAGATTGCCTAGTGTTTACGAAGCCCTGGTTTCCATCCCCAGCACACACCAACTAGGTATGGTGGTGTATGTCTGTAATCTAGCATATAGGAAGATCAGAAGTTCAAAGTCATCCTTGGCTACATAGAGAATTATGCTCAGTATTGGAAAGAGGTGATATTGAAAATTCTGATAGGCTGAATATTACACAACTTTTGCTAACAGGAATGTATCACTGTAATGAGGTCTCTTATGCTGAACAGCAAGAAATCAAAAAGATTTCTTGTGACATTTTCTTTCTGTGTACTGTAAAGCTCTTACCCTTGTTTTTATTTGACCCTAAAACAGGAGTACCAGAAGAATATTTTGAAGATATATTAAAAATATTTCATGAAAAAAATCCATTTAAAGGGGTTGGAGAGATGGTTCAGTAGTTAAAGAGCACCAGTTGCTCTTGCAAAGGACACAGATTCAGTTCCCAGCACCCACGTGGTGGCTAACAACCATCCATAACTCCAATTGCAGGGAATCCAATGCCTTCTTCTGGCCTCTATGGGCAGTGCACAACACAGGTGCACTTACGTACATGCAGGCAATATACTCATACACATAAAATAAAATAATCATTAAGGGCTGGGCATGATGGCACATAACTTTAATCTCAACTTTCAGGAGGCAGAGGAAGACAGGCCTGGTCTACATAGCAAGTTCCAGGCCAGCTAGGGCTACAGGGAGCCCCTGTCTCAAAGAAAAAAAAAAAAAATCAAAGGTTTTATGGTGAGTGTGCTGGGCTCTCGGGGTCCCTGCACGCACTCCCGGAATGGGCTTCTCCGCCGTGCGCCTGGAGGATGGCGGGTCTGGCTCTCGCGGGTTGCTGGTTCTCTGCTGCTTCCCCGTGTCTCTCTGCTGCTGGAGCGTTGTCCAGCCGTGTTTCTGCCCTTATTTCACCCGTGTACTTTCCTCAATATGCGAGTTCCACCGGCCGTTGGACCACGTGGGAAAGTACGGGGCGGCTGAAGCTGGGATCCGTGAGTCGGTGATGGAGGAATGCTGCCCCCCGGAGAGACTAGATTGCAGGCAGGAGACACAGACTCAGCTCAGTCAGATTCAGTGATGCAGCTCTTTATTCCAAGTCTCAGTGACCCAGTTCCTGCTCTAGCTCCTGCTCCGCTTCTAGCTCCAAATTATTGAGAGAAGACTGGAATATTTTATACCACAGGGGCAGTGGTAAAAGCTATAGCTGATAGGTATTTTGGGGATGCTTCATTTGCGTGTGGAAATGGGCTCCCGCCAGGCTGCCAGACTGTCAGACTGCTTGAAAAATCACACAGGAAAGCATGCTATTTCCAGAGCCAGAGGCCATGTTTTCTATGGTGGCTACTTCAAAAGAGTTAGGAAGATGCCAGGTACTCTGCTGAAAGGAGTCATCTGCATATGAAACTGAGCCCATGGGCCACCCGGACATGGAGAGACTACGACTTCACAGCAGGGGTCCCCAACAAGGTTTATATTGCCTTCAGATGGTTATCTACTGTGGAGGTATATAAAATAGGAAATATAAGTCAAGAGAGTCAAGGAAATGGTATCAATACAAATAACATAAAGGGAGAAGAAAGAATCAGAGCAAAATGTGTTTTTAAGACTTAAGCTCAGCTTTTGTGGGGTTGTAGAGTTGAAGACTTTCGGATTGTTTGTGACAAGAGATATAAAAAGTGCCTCTTTTTCAAGAGATACCCCTGTTACATTCTTGTACGAGTCTGTGGTCATAATAGGGTGAAAGAGGACATGACACATTCAGAGATCTCAGAAATACCAATGAAAATGTGCCAACTAAGTGCAAGAAGTGTCACAAACTGACCACTGACCTGTTGGGAAGATTCCTGAGCCTCTTCCACTGCATCCCTACCCTCTATGTGTCTGTTGCATTGTAGAAATCTGTCATTTCCTGGCTGTTGAATCATGATCCAGCAAAACGGCCCACAGCTATGGAACTGCTTAAGAGTGAGCTGCTGCCCCCACCCCAGATGGAGGAATCAGAGCTGCACGAAGTTCTGCACCACACACTGGCCAACATAGACGGGAAGGCCTACCGCACCATGATGGGCCAGATCTTCTCTCAGCATATTTCCCCTGCCATAGACTATACCTACGATAGTGACATACTGAAGGTAGGCTGAGCCATGTCTCAGAGCTTACTCTGGGCCATCAAAGGACCATATCAAGTCCTATTTCTCTAGATACTTTTTTAAAAATTTATTGTTTGACAGTTTCACACATGTATATAATACATTCTGGTCACACTTATTCCTGCACCCTCTTATATCACCCCCCGCTCCCTGCCACCACAAAGTCCTTATCTCACATTTATATTTATTTATTTATTTATTTATTTACATATGTATCTATGTCTTGGTGTGCTTGTGCAGGTCAAAGGACAACTTGCAGGAGTAGGTTCTCTTCTACCAGGTTGGTCCTGGGGATCAAACCAAGGTTGTCAGATTGCCAGGCCTGGCAAAAAGTGCCTTTACCCACTGAACTATCTTATTAGTCCTTTTTCATGTCTTTTTGTTTTGTTTTTGCTTTGTGATCCATTGAATTTAACCAGGTAGGCCTCCAATGTAAGTTTTTTCATAGTTTATTATTTAATTTTATGTGTATGAGTGTTTTGACTACGTGTATATAAATATACTTACATATGTGTAATGCCCACAGAGGCCAGAAGAAGACATTGAATCTCCTGGGTCTGGAGTTATAGACAGTTGTTAGCCATCATGTGGGTGCTGGGAACTGAACCAGGTCCTCTCCAAGAGCAGCAAGTGCTCTTAACCACTAAGCCATCCATCTGTCCCCTCCAATATATGTTTTTGATATGAGTTCCAAGAAGCCACTAAACACCTGCAAAAAGTGTGATTGCCATTGTTCAGGGAAGAAGAGCCACACTGTTAATCACTTACTTGAGTTCTTGACCTCTCCCACTGTGTACCCACCCAAGAGATTAAAAGACAGACCCCTGTCCCAGCTACCCAAGAGTAGGGACATCAAGCAGTCAGATCCATGTGAGGTAGTAGAGTGGCTCCAGAGCTGACTTCCAGATGGCCTGGGAAGTGCTGACACACAGGTGCCCAGGGCTGCCCAGCAGCTCTGGTAGCCTGGCATTTTCAGCTATGAGGCACCTCAAGAGATTCTTTAAAAGCTCCCAGATTGGTTGTGAAGTATAGCCAGGTCACCAATTTTAGAAGCTTTTAATGTTTCATTTCTTTAAAAAACAATCTGAAACAATTTAATAAAACATTAAAATTTGATAAAGTTGGGAGGATAGATAACCAGTATTGGTTATCTTTGCTACATATTCCTATATATTTAACTTATGGTATAATTTTAAAGAATGGGGTAGTAGAGGAAGCAGTGGGAAAATTTATGGATGATCAGTATAGATTTTTAAGGACTGAAAAGAGGTAGGTGTATCATGCACAGCTGTGACTCCAGCACTTGAGAGGATTATGACCAGTTCTAGACCAACCTGGGCAACATAACAAGAGCCTGTCTCAAAAATAAAGACCAGGGATGGGAGAAATGTTCCCTAGTTAAGAGCACTGGCTGCAGAGAACTGGGGTTTGGCTCACAGCCACCTCTAACTCCAGTTCTAGGGAATCCAGTGCCCTCTTCTGGCCTCTCTGGGCACCAGGCACACACATAGTAAACACATAGACATGCAGACAAACACTCATACACATAAAAAATAAAAAACCTTTTTTTCAGTATATATTTTTATTAAATTTTTGTGCATTTCATACATCTTAATCATATTTGTACCCCCTCCCCTATCTGCATAGGATTCATATTAAACCAATCCCATCCAGGGCTCAGGGACCATTTCAGAAGAAGGGGTAGAAAGATTGTAAGAGCTGGGAATGGTAGAAGACCACAAGGAAACAGAGTTTTCCAGGCTTCTGAGAACTTGCTCTTATGAACTTAGAGCAATGATGACAGCATCCACAAGGCCCGTGCAAACTCAAACCAGACAAAAAAATAAATCTTTTAAAAAATAAAGACTAAGCAGAGTTTTAATTGGCTGGCAATATTAGAAAGATCTCTTTGTAAAAATATAGGTGACTTTATTTTTGCCTTTTTGTTTATCTGTTATTTCTAAAATTCTTATAGGAAAATAAAATTATTTTTGTAAGAAAACAAAAAACAAAACAAAAAAAAAAGCCCTGGACAAAACCCCTAAGTGTTCATAGCTTCCAACAGTCTTCAGTGACTCAATGCATATGTGGGAGGGAGCCTAATGTGTTAGGAGCTTAATCACCTCCAGTAGTCCTAGGGTATCTCCAGGAGAGTGTGCATATTGGATTAGCTGGTAGAAAGCATGTATCAGTGTGGGTAAGGGCATTGTCTTTGAACTAAGGTGGCCATCGTGTTGCTCAAGGATAGCTCTTGCATTATAAAGCAAGATTAATTATAAGACATATGGTCTCTTCCTTCCATGTGTTCACAAAGACACTGACATCTCTGTTGTGATCCTGGGACTGAGCTGAGCTGTGTAGTGCCAAATGTAAACCAAAGATTAACATTTTGGTGGGTTTCTTTGATTAGGCTTTAGCAATGATTTTTTATTTTTTAATTTTTTCTGAGACAGGGTCTCCCTGCAGCCCCCAGCTGGCCCAGAATTCATTATGTAGACCAGGTTGGCCTTCATCTCACAAAGATCTGCCTGACTCTACCTCCCAAGTGCTGGGATTGAAGCTGTGCACCACCACACCCAGCTGGCAATAATATTTTTAACTGATCTCATTTTAGGGCAACTTTTTGATCCGTACAGCCAAGATACAGCAACTTGTATGTGAAACCATCATCCGCATCTTTAAAAGACATGGTATGTCGTTTTCTAAAAATTATATCCCTTAGCAAATAATTTTTTAACTTTCTATTTTTTTTTACTTTATGTGTATGACTGTTTTGCATGCATGTATGTAAGTGTACTACATGTGTACAAACCAGTGGAGTCTAGAAGAGGGCATCAGATCCTCTGGAACTGGAGTTAAGGACCATTGTTAGCTACCATGTGAATACTGAGAACAGAACCCATGTTCTTAACCATTCAAGCCCCCTCATACCATTTTTTTTTTTATCATTAAAAGATTGTGCAGTTAGTTTTTGTCAACTTGCCACAAACTGGAGATACCTGGGAGACGAAAACTTCAATTGAGGAATTGTCTCCATCAGACTGGCCTGTGGGCTTGTCTGTGGGGACATTTTCTTCATTGCTGGTTGATGTAGGAGAGCCTAGCCCACCGTGGGTGGTGTCATCCCTAGGCAAGTTGGATTGGCCTATATAAGAGGGGTAACTGAGCAAGTCAGTAAGAAGCAGCCCTCCATGGTCTCTGCTTCAGTGCTTGCCTCTACTCCTGCTTGAGTTCCTGCCCTGACTTCCCTCAATGATGAAGTATAATCAGGAAGTGTAAGCCAAATAAACCCTTTCCTCCCTCAGTTGTTTTTGGTCAGTATTTTATTGTGGCAACAGAGAACTAAATGAGAACAAAGGGGCTAGGTAGATGGCTCAGTCAGTAAACTGCCTCACACAAAGTATAAAGACCTGAGTACAGTGTCTCAGCACCCACATTAAAAAGCCAGGTATAGCACATGTATCTGTAACCCCAGCATTAGGGCCAGGGACACAGAGATGGGAGGATTCCTGGGCTCAGTGGCTAGCCAGCCAAGGCAAATCAATAAGCTCTAGGTTCAGTGAAAGGCCCTGTCTTAAAGAGTAAGATAGAGAAATTGAAGAGGATGCTTGATATCTACCACACAGATAAGCACGAAAGGAAAAAGAATGAAAAGGCAGGCCAGATACAGTTTTAATGACTGTAATCCCAATACTTTGAAGGCTAAGGCAGGAGGATCATGAGTTTAAGGTTAGCTAAGGTTACATAGTAAGTTCAAGACCAGTCTAGGCAACATAGAGCCTGTCTCAAAAAAAAAGTACCACTGGTAGATTTTGGTATAACCATATATTAAAATTCAGTTATAAGTAGTGAACATCATGTGAAATTAATTTTTGTCTCAGCATATTGAGGAGAAACTGGTTTGACTGTTCCAATTTTGCTACTAAAAGACAGTCATGAAGTTAGAAATATAAATCAACTGGAAAACTTAACCCTAGCTTTCCATGTGTAAGTTTGAAAACAGGAAAAACTGGTGATGGGATTTGGGCTGCGCCAGTGGCAGATTACTTAACTGTTAGATTTGTGTGTATTTTAGGTTGCTTCCTAGGAAGAATAAGAGCCTGATGTTTAGCTATTTTTCTATTTTTTGATGTAGGAGCTGTCCAGTTGTGTACCCCACTGCTGCTTCCCCGCAATAGGCAGATATATGAGCACAATGAAGCTGCTGTGTTTATGGACCACAGTGGGATGCTGGTGATGCTTCCTTTTGACCTGAGGGTGAGGCTGGGATGTTCCCCTGACAATCTGGGTACCATATCTGGTCATATGAGTGTTATTTTACCGGGCATGGTGGTGCACACCTTTAATCCCAGCACTCGGGAGGCAGAGGCAGGTGGATCTTTGTGAGTTCGAGGCCAGTGGGTTCCAGGACAGCTGGGGCTACAAGGAGATCCTGTCTCAAAAAGACAAAAAAAAAGTCATGTTTCTGTTAAAGGATTTCCCCTACCAGACACCCCAGCACCAAACACACACACACACACACACACACACACACAGAGGCTTACATTTGGAATATTATCTTTAGTAAATACATTCTTAAGAGAGTTATCAGAGTAAAAGCATTTTTGGAGTTCACTAAATGTTTGGCCCTAAGTGCATCTTCCTGCATAATAGTACAAGTGTTTTTGGCTCAGAGCCAGAACCTATACTGCAGTGCCATATGTGCACCTCAGTGCTGAGACCCCTTGAGTAAGCATGGCAGGTTAACTTTAACTGAGACAAAAAAAAAAAATATATAAGATATTGTTTACTTCCTAGATAGATCTTCAGTAAAATCCTGACATGTTAATATCTAGAGCAACTGAGTTCTTGTAAAAAGCTAATTGGGTGTGGTAAATGCTGCCCATGCTTGCTTTCTTCTAACTTCCAAGGTGCCCTTAAACAGCAGCAGTCTTAGTCCCTCACTTATACTGCTTTGACTTTAGGCAAGCCCATCTGGCACTGCACTGTAGACCCGCAGGAAACGTGCATGCATGTGATGGACAGGGCTTCATCCCAGTAGTACAGAAGGCACTTGAAAATAAGAATATGAAGGGTAGAGTGTGTACTTGCATGCGCAAGCTCCCCATTCAATCCCCAGCACCAAAACTTAAATAAAAACCCTAAAAGAAATGTAAGCAGAGCATATAATTAGGCAGTTCTTAAATTCTTAGAAGAGAAAATGAATAAGGCTGATAAACTTCTAAGATGTCCAGCCTCACTGATGGGGAAATGTCAAGCTGTCTTACCTTCCCTTGTCAAACTGCAAAAATGTTTAAATTAGTATCATCCAGAGATGACCAGGCTGTAAGAAAGCTGCTGATGAGAATGAATTGATAACTTTAGAAATAAAAGTTTCTAAATTTAAAAAAAAATGATGCATATTCTATAGTCTATGAAATAGCAATCTCACTTTGAGAATTTATTCCAAAAAGTACCACAGTATATGAATACTAAAAGGGTGTTCACATTGCTGTATCCCAAAATTGAAACCTATCTGCATTTTCAGAAAAATGATTAAATATATATCATTAATATTAAGGAATATTGGGGCTGGAGAGATGGCTCAGTAGTTAAGAGCACTGACTGCTCTTGCAGAGCACCCAGGTTCAGTTCCCTGCACCCACATGGCAGCTAACAATTGTCAGTAACTCCAGTTCCAGGGGATCTGATGCCCTCTTCTGACCTCTGAGGGCATTGCACAACATGGGTATACCTACCTACACTTACCTACATGTAGGCAATACACTTATACACATAAAATAAAAATAATAAATAATATATTTTTTAAAGATATTATGGAATATTAAGGAGATATTATAAAAACACTTGCACCTATAATCCCAGCATTTGGTAGTCAGAAGCAGGAGGATTACAAGTTTAAGGCCAGCGTAGACTATGTATTGAGAGACTGTCTTTAAAAAAAAAAAAGATAGAGTTATAATAAGGGGCTGGAGAAATGGATCCATAGTTAAGAGCACTGGCTACTCTTGCAGAAGACCCAGGTAGTTCCCAGCACCCACATGGTGAATAACAGCCATGCATAACTCGTTTCAAGGGATCTGACATTCTCTTCTGGCCTCCCAGGTTTGCACACATATGCAGGCAAAACACTCATACACATAAAATAAAAATAAGTCAATCAAAAAGTTTTAACTAGAATTGGGGCTGGAGAGATGGCTCAGTGGTTAAGAACACTGACTGTTCTTGCAGAAGACCCGGGTTTGAATCCCAGCACCCACATAGCAGCTAATAACTGTCCATAACTCCAGTTCCAGGGGATGTGATAGCCTCTGTGGGCATTGCACAACACGGGTGCATTTACCTACATGCAAGCATAACACTCATACACATAAAATGAAAATAATAAAATACTTTTTAATTTAACTAGAATAATAAATGAAAAAAAATTTAAAGAGCTATATTTTTCTATATGTCAAATATTCATGTATGTATAAGATGAAAATACACGTTTAGATATTTAGATGCATCATTTTTTGTATGTGATATAAGAATATCCATGGTATAATGTTAGCTTTAAAAAAATGTTTCGAAGGAACTCTAAAATGCCATTTTTGTTATAAAGAAAGAGAAAAGGTTCTAAAAAAGAGGATTTTGTGCACATTAGGTGCATTATGTGTGTTTCATATACTTAGTATGTGTGCAGAGATGTGCATGCTCTCACACGTGAGTCACCAGACTGTCTCAACATCACAAAAAAAACCTGAAGAGTAACTCGGGTCTTCTGCCTTGTATATCTACAAGGCATTACCTTTTCCTTTGTTTTTAATGCCTATAATTTATGGCTTATTGCAAAAACAACTTTTACTTTCATGAGAAGAAATTCCTTCCATATCATTCTTTCTCTGTCTCTCTCTCTCACACTGTGTGTGTGTGTGTGTGTGTGTGTGTGTGTGTGTGTGTGTGTGGTGCTGGGAATAGAACTCAAAAGACTCCATGCATGGGAAGCAAGGGTTCCACCAGTGAGCTATACCCCCAGCTCTTTCTTTATTCTTGACTTCTATTTTTCTTTACAGTGAATAAAGTTGGTTGGGATTTTCTTATTAGAAGTGAATAAATTATATATCAGACATTTGGGCTCTGTTAAAGGAAGAGTAGAAGCACAAAGGTTACATAGTTGTATTTAAAGCTGGTTTCTGGGTATGGTGCCGCATATGCCTTTAATACCAGCACTCAGGAGATAGAGGCTCGCTATGAGTTCGAGGTCAGCTTGAGACCCTGTGTCAAAAAAAAAACACAAGAAAAGCAAAGCTGGTTTCTTATTCCCTAAATAGTAAATGACTGATAAGGGCAGATTCTTAACCATAAGATCCCTTCTATATACTGCAAAAAATAAGAAATTGCCCTTTATAAGTTTGACTTATTAATAATACTATACCACTTCTCTTTAGGCAATCTGAGAGTGGTTTGATTATTTGTGGGTGGTTATTAGGAATGTCTTCTAAGAGAATGATAGGAAACTCAGAAATTCATCCTTAAAAAGTATTCATTTTGGTGATATTATTATAAATGAGATTTAAATTTTTTATTAGTGTGGGGGAGAGAAAGTGGAGGCCAGAGCTCAATCTTTGGAAGTTGGTTTTCTCCTTCTACCCTAGGCTCCAGGATTTGAATGTAGACCATCAGAGTTATGTGGTAAGCACTTTTACCCACTGAGCCATCTCCCCAGCTAATAAATGAGAATTTAAAAATCATATATAACCAGTAACCTGCACAGATTTCACTTAGGCATAATAAAATCTGACAGCATGTTGAGCTAAAAGCAGATTTTCCTCAGAATGCAGAAATGCCACAGTAGCTGAGGTCTAGCAGTGGAGTCTTCTGCTTAGTCAGAAGACTAAGGCACTTGGGAACATTTCAAAGTGTGAATGGTGCACAGCTCTGGATATTAGGGCGTGTTCTAAAATAATGCATCATTAGGTGTTTTGGTCATTGCACTGATGTCATCAGTTGTGCTGACATGACATCAAGTGTGGTAGCTGAAGGATCACTAGGCAATATGGCTGATATCTGACTCACCGTTATGTAGGGTGTGACTATACCAAAACCACCAAGTTGTGTACCTTTAAAAAAAAAAAAGGCTCTCTCCAACCCACAGGCCTCTCTCCAGGGTAAGTCCATCGCATCCTCTGCGCCTTGACTCCCCCAGCCTCATTCACCCTCCCATCTCCCCCGCAAGTCTCTCCTCCTAGTTTGGGTCCTGTCCCATTATTTATCTTGGGGCCCCAGACACTTAGGGAACCACTACTGCTTCCTGATCCTTTTCATCCAGACCAACTCAGTGCCCTCTCTGACCCCAGGAGCACTGCTTCTGGGCCTGGCCCTGCCCTTACCTCCCTCTGCTTCCCTGGGCCTGCACCACCCACCAGCCTCTTTCCTGGACGCAGAGGCTGACCTTTCCTCTTCCTGATCCTTTGCATCCAGACCAACCCAGCTCCTTGGTGCAGTCCCCAGGAGTCCTTGGGGTGGCTTCCCGCCCCCATCTGCATTTGCATCTCTTGGTGGCACAGCCACAAGCTACCCTAGACCAGCATCTTTCCTGGGCCCGGCTCCCAGGCCAGTCCAACTCCCAAATTCCCGAGGCCAAAATCTTTCCTGGAGGTATCCAGACCTTAGGAGAAAGCCTGAGAGCATCTGATCCTCATCTGACTTGGGCCTCTGTGGGAACTACTGAA